GGCACAGAAGGCGGTAGTGAGCAAGAAGGCAGCCCGGCCTATGGGAGTGCCTAGCATGTTTGACTTCCTGTACAACAATGAGGCAGAAAAGGGGCTTTCGCAGCTGCGGCAGAGCGATAGGTACGTGCTCCGTTGGTCCGACTGACAGTAGTGGATAATGGCAAGCAAGCTCACGCCCGGGACCAGGTTCAAGGTGCCAGACGCAGAGTGGTATGGCAAACGCGTGCAAATGAGGGATCTGGACATGGACATGGCTGATGGCGACGAGGAAAAGCGGCAATTGGAAGAGAGCAAGGCAAGTGACGTGTGGCGAGGGCTCCGGGTGGCCTCGAAGAGCCAACTTAGCAAATTTGACAGAGTTGAGCATGGCAAAGGGCTGGAGGCTCTTCAGCCGGCCACCAGCTCAGCGAGTGAGGCCACGGGCCCTGAGGTTGCACCCACTGGTTCGGATGAGCAGGGGTCAGTTCCGCAGAACGAACATCAGAGCGTCGAGGAGCAGCGGGCCGGCCAACACAGTCAAGTGACTGGGGATTCGGCTGTGTAGTACTAGCGGCAGGGGCAGAGAAGCCGGCGTGGACGAGTTAGGGCCATGGAATTATCGATGGCCTCGAGACGGCCATGGCGCTTTTCCTCTTGTGTCTGCATGCAGTATGGGGAGCATTGCGGCGCTTTCTCTGTGGAATGATGGATCAATGGACGACCTGCAAGCGAAGAAAGGAAAAGGCACATGGGCCAGGGTAAGGATGTTAAGGGTAGGGGAGGGGGAGGGGAGGGGGCCTTTGGTGTGTCTGTGGTCTTTTTTATTTTTTTTCTTCCGGAGCTACTCTCAGCGTATCGATAGATCGGAGAGGGGGATTGCAGCGTCTGGTGAGCGACTGACTTCTGGACCTTGTCGCCAAACGGTTTTTGCCCCTCAGCGAAGCAAGCACAGCGCCACGATTGGCAAAGTGCCAAAAGGGCTGATTGGGGCTTGCACGCCGGGCGGTGGAGATGAAAGGGACGGGGTTTGATGAATCAGAGGGTACAACAATCTATCCAGGCGCGTGGCAAATGTGCACCCGTCCCGGCGACGGTCCTGACGTAGCGACGGCCCTGACGTAACGACGGCCTGGAACCCAAGCAAGAGGGGAAAGGAAAAAAAAGGGCTGGGTCTGGTTTGTGCCCTGGTCACCAAGGCACGTTTGCGTGTGTTTGTGTTTGTGAATGGAGCGAGCAGGAAGAAATGGGGTCAAGAACAGACTTGCCGTTGGATGCCGGGGTGGGGCCGTTTGTTCAGTTCAGGCTCATTGACAGAAACAGTAGTGTGTGGGCGGGTATGTTACTGTTGGGTGAGTGGGAGGAGTGGGTTGAGTGCGGAAATGTCGAGTGAGTGTGTGTTGTCAGCGCGGAAATCCACCTACGTGGAGGAAGGTGCAGCGTTCCGAAATGAAGGGACCTGTACTACCTGACACTACCGCTCAGCGGCCGTGTGTGGTGTGTGGGGGGGTGCGTGTGCGTGCTGCGTGTGTGGGAAGGAACAGCGTTTCCAAGGCTGAATGCAGCTTCTGCCGTGACACCCACACCCACACACATGCACCCAAATCCGTGACAAGTTTGCAAACGACGGCTGGCAAAAAAAGAAACCAAAACTTATGGACCCGGCCATATCTTCAAACGCGAACTGATGGTAAGTTTTGGGCGTTGCAATGCATTGCTGGTGACATATGATGTGCGGAACAAATGGACAGACACACACACACACGCACCCAAGAAGAGAGTCGTGGGCCCCAAGCATGATGAAAGCAAGGAGGGGGCGGACGGGCATGTGGTGCCGATAAGCCCCCAGGTACCCATGCGCTCATCAAACCTACATAGTCTTCTACAGCCGGCCAGCCCCAAGAAGGCAAATTGGGGTGTGGCCGACGGAAAAAAAAAGTTGCGGTTTGGCGATGGGCGAGCGATCCTGTCATTTCGAAACCCGCCCTCATCCGCCAGCCCCCAGGGCCGCCTTTCTTGGCAGTGTTTTGGGAACCTGGGACTGGTGACGCCGCAACGCCGTCCGCCGTGCTTTGTTCAGTACTGAATTGCGAGATATTTTGGGGCCTTTTTTTTTCTGGCCGGGTCTGTGTGGGTTTGGGGCTATTGCGTATGCCCTTGGTTTCTTTTTTTGTTGTTCTTGATTCTGCTACACACATACACGCACGTACACACGCACATACACAGTGAACACAAAGGGCGTTTTGGGCGGGCACCAAACATGCAAAACGACCCAAACACTGGTGGTTAGTTAGGGTGCTTCAACGAGAAAAAGAAACAAGTGCACGGCGATGAGGCCGTGTCTCGGGGCGCGACGGAGCGAGTCGTGGTGTGATTCGTTGTGCGTGTGGAAGTAGAGGCGTTTGTATCTGTGGGCTGTATGCGAGAGAAGGAAAGACATGGAGAGAGGAAGAGAGAGAGAGTGTGTGTGGGTGGGCGATGGCAGCAGGCGCCGCATCGGCTAGACGTTCATCTGCTTTGAACACGGACGGTGTCGATCACGACGGAACGGCGCAAGACATGGGTGGCTTGCGCATCGCGCGTTTTTCCCTGCAGAGAAGGCGGAACTGCGTAAGTGAGTACAGGTCGTGGCAGCCTCGCCCTCGTAGACACTGCGACGGTCGTGTTTCACGGCGGGCTGGTGGCCAGGTCGGATGCTTGACAGGCGACGATAATTTGGCCGCTGTCACCAGAAGTACCGACAGCCTACCAGCGTTACACGCGTCACACTACAGCGAGAACCGGCTTCGAGAACCAGGCGGCTTTTTTCTTGCTTGCTTCTTCTCGTCCACCATTTTTCCCGGCGCGGGCCGAGCTTTTGGCCGTTAGATCGTTGAGGCCAGCCAGATCGTTTTCCGCTGCTCGTCCATGTACTCGATGGGTACAAGTCACGGCCAACTGGGCGGACTGGGGGGGTCGACTCTTGGGTGCAAGGCCGCGGGGCGCTTGAGTGCTTGTGGTCGTGGTAGCAGTGGTGCTGGGCTGCTACTAGACTGCTAATGCTCGTGTACATGTGTATGCAAGCAGAAACACACATGGGGGGCTAGCACCCTACAAGCGCCGGCTTCGACGCATGCCATGATGGGCTGACGGCTGAAAACGACGACGCTTTGTTGTTTATGCAGCGCTGCATCTGGCCTCGGTGCGCGCAACAGGCGGCTCCCTCCCATTGCACGCCCTCGACGGTGGGCGGGCAAGGCTGATGCACCGCGTTCCTGACGCACACGCAATTTGCGGACCGTGGCACACTTGACAGCTGCCAGAAGCTCCCCTCTGCCAAAGCCACCAAGCCCTTCTGCAACTGACGCCCAGCCGGCGGGGGGGCATGACATGACGACGGCGGTTCTACATGCGTAGCAGCTTGGGGTGGTGGTGTGGTGTGGTGTGTTGTGTGAGAGAGAGACTGTCTGTGTGTGTGAGTGAGAGGGAGCGACACGGCGAAAGCGGATAGAGACAGGCACACACACATGCACACACACACACACACCACCACCACACAAGTCCAGCACCACCATTACAACCACCACAACACCACCAGGTCCAACTACTTACGAGAGCGACCGCTAAGACTGCTGTTACCGCTCTACCGCTCTACCGCTACCGCTCTACCGCTACCGCTCTACCGCTGTCCAACGAACCCTGGCCTTACCGCTACCACCCTCGGCCCACCACCACTAGGCCAAGTGCCATGACCACGCCCGATGCCCGCTACCACCACTACCGTCACCACCACCACCATCGCGTCCCCTCACCACCCGCACTAGGGTGGCATTGACAGCAACACCCCGCAACAAGCCGTGCAAGCGTTGCCGAGCCCTGTCGCATCCCTGCCACTTCTCACGGCGGGTTCCTTGGAGCTCCCGCATCGCATTTGGCCAATAATGGCGCCGCCACCTGCCTCGACCATCAACCGCTTAACGCCACGCATCCCTCCTTGCTCGTCGGCCATTTTTCTACACGGACCATGGTCTATGCATGGGAGCATGCAGCCCACCATGTTCACGCACCGCTCACGCTCCCCTTCTCGAGCGAGGGTAGGCCCCCCCCCGGCCGGCTGCACACCTGATCCAGAGCCCTTCGATTCGCTCGTTCCCGCCCCGTCTCTCCTGCGTAGTAGGCCCACGTCCCGACCTACCGCATCCCTGTGCCCCGGTGCTCTTGGGGTCTGCTAGGCCCTCGACGTTAGTCACGCTTCTCGTCGTGTAACAAGCTGCTTCCAGGTCCTCGTAGGATATCTTGTTTCCCTAAGAAGGACCACTGTCCATGCATGCCATCACCCCGGTCTTCACTATTCCCTTATCCCTCCATTTTATCCGGATCGTCGACATTAGGGCCCCGTCAAGCCTTTTTGCTCTGGAATGATCTGATCCCCTCCCTGCTGCTATCGCTGATATAGCCTCGCCTGTTCCTGGCTCTCTTTACAAAGCCCTCTACCTCATCATCGTTGACAGCGGGACCACGCCTTCACTCCTACTAGAGTATCCCTTCCCCCCCTTTCCCCGCTTCATTATCTTGCCCAAACTTGCAACACCCCATCACCATCACCACCACCGCCTACTACGTTCGGCCTCCATCTTTGTTTGGCCTCATCGTTGTTGGTACCTGTTGCTGCTGTGCACCCCTTCAACGTTGCGACACACCAGCATACAGTCTGGACTCGCCATAACCACCACCACCACCACCACCATAACGGTCTGGAACTTGTAAACCTGCATCCCTGAAGCCTTCTCTCCGCTGGATCGGCAAACGTCCTTGCGACAACGCTTCACCACCTTCTCGCCGATCACCCGTACCCAACCCCGCACGAGGACCGGGTACTGATCGACTGCCACTGTCCAAGACCACCTGGAAAACCACGGGTATCCAGGTAAGCAGTGGCATCCTGAGTAGTCTCGTACTCCCCAGCTAACGACTCCCCAACAGGCGTCTTAGCTATACAGCTCACCCTACCTGCAAAATCCACAACACCTGTTCCAGAAGCCCCAATGATTGAAGGAAACTTTCTCATTCCTTTGTCTCCACCTACCTCGCCTCACATGTCTGCGTACAGCTCGACTGCAGCAGACAACGAGTGGCAATCATCAGAATCCAGGACACTTGAACACACACCACCACATTCCGATAACGACATGGCAATGCTCCACGCGGACGTCTCCGGACACCACTTTGATATGAAGCGGCCATCAATGCGATCACACAAGAGCTTCCCATATCTGCTCGACAGCAAGAACCACCTCAACGCTGGCACTGACACACCAACTGGCCTGGACGACATTGAGCAGCACGACATCCCAAATGTGACCTTTGGCGGCTCTGCTCCCACAAGCCCAATCTCCCGGCTCACTCCCCCTTCAACAAACGACGGCGTGACTGCTGGCAAGGTTGATGACCAAGACCAAGAAGACGATCTCTTCTCAGACGACAAAGACGACTGTGGTGATGACGAGAGCAAAGATGAGGACCGACCACCAATGTCAGCTGCCGAGATCCGGGCGGCGAAGCGCAAGATGAAGAGGTTCCGCCTTACGCACAACCAGACTCGCTTCCTCATGAGCGAGTTTGCCCGTCAAGCCCACCCAGATGCTGCTCACCGCGAGCGGTTGGCCCGCGAGATTCCCGGTCTCAGCCCTCGTCAAGTCCAAGTTTGGTTCCAGAACAGGTAAGTTGTACAGTAGATGGCCTCAGCTCAACGAAGATGCTAATGCCATGGTAGGCGTGCGAAGCTCAAGCGCTTGACAAGCGACGACCGCGAGCGTATGATGAGGTCTCGCGCACTCCCAGATGACTTCGACATGGCTTCCGCTCTGCACGCTCCCTTTGGCAACTCACAAGGTCTTGGTACACCTCTTGCCTCGCCTGGATCCTACCAACCAAGCTACGCAGAGGGCAACATGATGCGACCGCTGAGCATCGACACGTTCCGTCGCGGACCACTCGACTCTCACATGTCACCCACGGGCATCACCCCTGCTTTTGGCGGCTTCTCCTTCACACCCCCACAGTCGGCCACAGAGGCAATCTCGCCAGTATCAGCCCACGAAGGGTCACCCTTTGGATTCCACTCAGCACCGCTCGAGGCTAGCCCAAGAACATCAAACCCCTTCTCCATGCCCGTCAGCAACCCTCCTGCCTACGCTGCCAACCACAGCATCCCTCGTCTTTCACTACATGCCGACCGTATCTCGAGGAGCCGCGCAGAGTCCCTGCAGTCGCCCCTAAGGACTAGCATGAGCTACACTAGTGTCGGTGACCACCCCACCACACCAGGCTCACATGGCCACCCCGATAGTGCACGGTCGTACCCGAGCACCTCAATGCCCTATGGCCTTGGATATTCATGTAAGTTGTCTTGGTAGCCCAAGCATTCGGACGTCTTGTCTAACCCTATCCTAGATGCGCCGGTGCCGGGCTTCGGCGCTTCTAACGGCCGAATGCGCTCTTTCTCTAACGGCGTTCCCCGTCGCATCGAGCTGAGCAACTTCACACCCCAGCGCAACGGATCCACACCTCAAACGGCCCATTTCCCTTCCTTTTCTAGCTCACCACTTGTTACCCAAAGCTTTGCCATGCCCCAGATGAGTGCACCTCACCACTTGTCGACCTTTCCCAACTCGTACATGCGAAATGATTCCGCCCATAACGACACATACGCTTCGTCCCTTGGAGACGTCATGGAGAACGCTAGCCAGCACAGCGACGACCACCATTCCAACAGTCAATATTAAAGCAACTTCGTCTCTGTTCGTTTAGCCAAGTCTTTTACCACATGGCGTTTGTTTTTTAGGGTATGGTCAATCTCACTGCCAAGGGCAGCGGACTTTTTTTTTTTGCAATCAAAAAAAAACAGGGACAGTATTTTTTGGGGGTGTCTGGGCAGGGAAATTCACGACATGATGAATGGTCTTTTTGTTTTTGTATTCCTGTTTTCTTCATTCTGTTGTTGGTATTTGTAACCACTTTTATCTTCGTTGTTACAGCGAAATATCCATCGAGCTTATTGTTTTTCTCTTTCTTTTCTTTTCATCGATTGGATACTTTTGGGTTGGAGGAGCCTGATTTGTTGATTTTCTCTTGTTCATTATATTACTACCTTTTTTGCGTTTGGTCCGGCAGGGGGGATTAACTTATAAAGGTTCGGATTATATCGGTACATTAACTTTTATTCTTGTGTATATACTTTTTTTTTATCTTAAACAATAAACATTATCAACATGATCATATGAACAAACCTTTGACAAGTTGTTTGCCTGTGTGTGTGTGTGCCTCTCCTTTGCTATCTCTCTCTCTCTCTCCCTCTCTATGTGTGCGTGTGTGCTTGGCTGTTCTGCAGCCGCCCCTGCCAACCTGCCAAACCCAACTAAGTCCTGCACCATTGATTCATACCTTCCTACCACAGCCAAGTCTCTCTCTCTCTCTCTCTCTCCCATTCCATGCATCCCTGATTCACTTTGCAAACTAAAACAGACAAATCAAAAAATAAATGACCATGCCAACCATATCTCAGCCTCAACAATTTCAAAATCCCCCCGATAATTCTTCATTTTTTTTTTCTCTCTCTTTCTCTTTTCTCCCTAGTTGGACACCCCTTGTTTTTCAGCCCTTTTTTTGGCTCCATCACACCACCACCACCACCACTACCACTACCTTTGTTTGTTGTAATTTATTTTCCCTTGCTTTGATCTCGATTTCATCGTTTTTAACTTACCTACCTACCTACCTACCTGCCTACCTGCCTACCTACCTGCCCTCCCCCGCCGCCGCCCGCCGCCCCAATTCTTGCATGTGTGTAACTCTTTGTCTTGAAACTTGTGTTGTAAAGTGGGGGGTGGGGGGGGGGGGGTGGAAAGAGGCTCCCCAAGACGGCGTCGCCGAGAAATACACGTGAGAATTGCGGCGGGCGGCTAGGTAGTAGATAGAGATAGATGAAAACGGAGCATCCTTGCTTATTTTTTGGGGTCTTGGGTTTCGGTGCGAATGGTAAAGGGCGTGGCTGCTGTACCTGACTTGTGTATGTATGTATGTACCCGTTTTAGTGTCTTGGGGGGGGGGCGGTTAGGGAAAGATGGATTTGGACAAGAAGGGCATAAGGGTGGGTACTGGATTCTTGAATTGATTGTTGTTTTCGTCTAATTTATTTTAAACTTGAAGTTGGGGCTATAGGGATGGAAGTAGAGATAGGTGCTATTGTGGGTACAGTAATGTAGGGGCTGGTGCTAGCCAGCTGGCCTTGTTTGTTCTCTCTTCTTGTTCTTTTGCCATGTCATAATCGCTATGTAGATGTCGAATAGTGGGTTGTACATGGGTACACGTGGGATGTGGTTGAGAGATATGGTAGTTTCTTTACACTTTTTTTTTGCTTTTGGTATAGAATGCGAAGAGGATTACGCTCAGACCCCTCCCCCCGGTCTCACCCCTGGACTATGGGAATCCCATCTCGATTTGTTTATGATTTATGTTGTGCATGTCTTTGGGGTTGTTTTTTCGGCGTGTACCCTAATTCTGCTGAATGCCCATGGACGTTGAGAGAAAAAAATCACGCAATACAACGCACGCGCCAACACAGACTCTCGCTTTCTGGGTCTGGGAAGGGATGTTGCGTGTTGGTGTGTGGTTTCAGTACACACGCCCCCCCAAAGTCATGCGATTATCTGTCTGTTTTTTGCGGCAGTGCCCGGCTGTTTTCTGTTTTTGATTTCGGCGTACCGGGGGAAAAAGACGACTTGTAACAGGGTGGGTCAAAAGTCCGGTCCGGGCGGCGGGTTCGGTGGTATTTTTTTTTGCTTTTGTTTTGGGAGTTGTACTACGCAGCAGGTACTAACCCAACTACTGCTTACTACGTTTGGGGCCTAGAATTGCACACCCACGTTTTTTTTCGCCAAGTTACCAAACTAGTGCCAAAGGGAAAAACTTCAGGCAGAAAATGGGCGGTTAAGGATATGAATAAGGTATTTGGCCGTTCTCACTTGTGTATTGTATGATTCGGAAGTCTGTTTTGTTTTCTTGGGGTATTTTGTCCGTGTTACTGTAGGCCATGGTTTGGCGAGACTCCGAGGTGCGGGCACGGTTGTTGCTGAGGACAATGTCCGAGGAGCAGCGCTACACATTACAACGTCGCACGCCTATGCGATGCAACAATTTTTTTTTCCTCTCTAGCAAAATGCAACTACCTTACGGAACGCATTCTACTTGGTTCCGATGTCGTTTGTCGCAAAAGGCATGACGTGCGTGTCTGACTCGCTAGCAAGTGCTCATCGTCTTTCCTCTTTGCATTTTCTTTTATTCTTGCTGCAGCAAAGGACCATGTGTGGGTGGGGACTATGCGGCTGTGGTGCAAAGAAGGATTCGGGGCCCGGCGCTTGTGAGTTGACCATCCATGTCAAACAAACCATGCAACGCTCATCTCGCAATGGTATTTGCCCGAGGTCCCGGGCGGGACGCTTGGCGAGTTGATGGGGTTTGGCTGCGAGGGAGGGGGGGGGGGAGACTAGTGCAAGGGCAGAGGGGCGCAGTGGGATGTCATGGTTGGGCGGATGAATGGGTGAGGGGCTATCAGATTGAACAGGCAGAGTACCGGGTATGCACAGCCCAAGTTTGTTTGACCGATGCAGACGTCTTGCTCAGAACGGTGGATTATGGATATCCGCGGCGAGCGCGGTGCTAATGGAAATTAGACATCTGTCTACGACATAGACATGGCCGTATCTACTGTGTAGATGAGAGAAAAAGCCCAGGTACACATGTCTTCTGCCTTCCAAGACACCGAGAGGTATGGCCAAGCTTCTTACTATCCTCAAGACACCACCGAGAAAACAAGAGGATAACATCGGCCAAGAGCACACCACGACTGTCTTGCCCATGCTTGGGGAGAAACTATTACCAAACCAGCATATCCCTACGTACGTACGTACACACGCGTAGGTATGCAGTCACTGGGGGAAGAGAAAATCTCAAACGACCTTACCCGTAGTACCACACTGATCGACCTAGCCTCTTCTTCCAGAAACCTTCTACGAACGAACCACGCTTCCCCTCTCTTTCGCCGCTTGTTAACCGGCCTATTCGACCAAGCGGGCGCTTCTCCACAAACTTCTAGCTGGTCTCTCGCCTTCCATTATGCTCCACACACACACACACTTGCACTCACGCCAAAAAGCATAGATCCGCTGCTATTATCCCCTTTGCGCATGACCTACACATGCGCGCTGTATGTTGATGCTGCAGTCTTTGCGGTGATCCACTGGTGGCTTGTAATCGCCGGCCGGGGAGGGTATATGAGGATGCGCTTAAGAACGCCATGTTACAGACAGAAAGAAAAGAGAAGCCATGTGGAATGAAGAAGCGGCTGAAAGGGAAAAGAAGACACCACATGGATAGCTAGTCTTGACTCCACACTTGGAATCTCTTACCCCAGACTAGGATGAGCCAGAGGTGCATGTTAATTTCGGCTTCTGAGGCTCAGGAACCGCGGGGTTGCTGGGTTGAGGCAGGCAAAAGACTTGGTTACGTGCATGCGTTATTGCATGCGGGCTTGCATTAGCTTGAACTTTGGAGGGGTTTGCCCTGGTGTTACCTCATGTCACGGGGGCAGGAGCAGCACCAGTTAGTGGCCTTGTTTTGTTGTTGCTGGTACCGATGTTGTTGCGCGTACTACTTACATGGTAGATTAACTTGATGGGTAAAGTGGATGATGGAACAAGGACCATGGCGAATTGGAGAACAAGACCAGTACCAAAGTTCCTGGACAGGCAGTCATAGACATATCTTTTCTTCTTTAGGCCTCACATCTACCGGGCCCGGGTGTTCGAGCGCACGGATTCAACAGCCGCTTGGAAACTGTGGAGATGTTGTGGACTGGTGGCACAGCAGCATCCGTCAAAACGTGGAGAATGCGGAATTGAACAAAAAAAGCACATGTACGCCGTATAGTGTAATGCGATTCTTGCTGCAGTGTACCCGTCTGACCCATTGTTTTTTTTTCTGCCTCTTCTCGAGTCATGCACAGTACAGTTATGCACACCCGTAATTCCCGTCCTTTGCAAGATCACTGTGCATTATGCGGGGAAGAATACCTGGGGTCGGTGGATTCTGTCTTGATAGGCTAGGGCTTGAGCTGCAGGCCAGAGCAGACTAGTGGAGGGACAACGCATGCGCCACAGAAATGCAAGTCAGGTATGGATAAGGATGGTGGGCATAAGGCCGGGGGGGTTGGGGACGCCCCAAAGCAAGGTGGTTGCGTGATGTTCGCTGAGATTCCAGTCTCTTGCGACGGTTGGCGTTCTGGTTGGCATCATCTTAGCTGGGGGGGTATGCATATCGCAAGGAACAGAATGCTAGGTGTGGATCTTAACTGAATTAGAGTTATTAACGGCTGCTGCTGGCATCACGCACCTCGGAGGGACAAAGTGGTTGCATACCTCGGTCCAAGAACCAAAGCTAGTAAAGACAGACAGCAGCCAGATCTTAGGCTTAATCCAGGCTGGGCATTGCTAGCGTGGGCAGAATAGGCGGGCGAATTGGGTGATTCGGGTGCGGTTTGTCCTTACCAGGATGGTCGTTCGAGAAGGCTCGCGAGCATGGCCAGGGGAGGGTGGGAGGGTGTGAGAGCAAGAGTGGGAGCATGGTACATGGTTGTGCCGGGCGAAGGCGGATAGTGCAAGCGGACGAAGGAGAAGCCATGGGAACATCTTGGTATGGGAAGTAAGGCGATGCATGTCATGTGGATGGAATTGCTTACTGGACCTCGCTCAGAGTGCAACGAGGGTGGCCATGCATCGCTCCCGGTGGCGGTGTGATAGGCGTCATTTAGGGACAGTCCTAGCAGCTTGTCCTTGTGGATTCAAAGCTTGTTAGCCTCGGAGACACATGTGTCGACGAAGGGCCGAGCCATGATTGCCCAAAGAAATGCAAATAAACAGAGGTTTCAAGTGGGCCCAGGACACAACGATGGACCATGCTGTAGCCAAAAGGCCCAGCTAGTGTCATGGTACCTCGTCGCTAGGACACGGACGTGGCGACGCGGTACGCGATTCCGGCTCGAGGCTCGACAGCTACCGTTCACGTTGTGCGGAGCGCATCATGTGCTACTGGCGGTGCTGCAAGCACGAGCGTTGGCTGGTGCCATCCTTGTCGCTGCGTTTGCGTGCAGTGGAGGTTGACGAGATTGTCATAAGGCGGGGTGCCTTTATTCACGAAGAGTGTCGTGCTGCCTCTGGGCACAGCCACTGGAAAGCTTACTCGTAGTCGGCCATGGCGGCAAGCACATTTATTGTCCGTAGGAGATGAAGGGTGGGCTGGTGGTGCAGGTACATGGGGAGCAAGGCGGGCGGCATCAAGGACCAAGGAAGCCGGAACGACGTGCCTGAAGATGAGTAAGGGGCCGTGCAAATGGGCAAGCGGTTGCGAGCCATGCCGGCTGAATACCCGCTGGTTCGACAGGAACTTTTAGCCAGGCGCGAGGAGAATGCGGAGTACATATGTACGTGTGCGCGTGTGTAGTATGTGCGGACGGCTCCAAGCTGGGGTTGCGAGCACACTGGCCCTTTGGCCGCATTTGGGTCTGGAGAAGCCCAAGGCGATTGCACATGTGCGGGTGGATGGTGGATGGTGGAGAGGGAAGAGGTGAGCGGGCCGCTGGGGGCGTACGAGGGTCAGCCCTGGGGGAGAAAGGAGTTTGCAACCGGTCCTTGGTTCCGCAGGCGCGGCTGGGCCAGCATGACGTGTGGTGGTCGCTTTCCGGATTGGGAGCGGAGTCGGCGTCCATGGCTCGCATTGCACAGCAAAAGCGAAGGGCTGGTCACGTGGCCTCGGCGGAGCGGGCTGAGGGTGTACCACCGCTCCGTCTACGCGCGGACAGGGATGCGGCCAAGTTTGGTAGCGCTGGCGTCATGATGGCCCAGTGCGTACCTCGACTAGGCGTAGGTGTAGTGCATGTAGGTGTACAGAGTAGCAGCAGTTGTGGTCGTTGTACTCACCTCCACCTGCCGGGCGGGAAGCGAGATGCAGCGAGGTATTGAAAAAGGCTGACGCGCATGGCCAGTGGCAGCCATTGGGCATCCATGCTTTTTGCGGCCAGCGGTTGGCGTGTAGTCGGCGGCGGCAGACGTACACACACCTAGTCGAAGCCTGGCGATGCAACAGCGGCAGGGCGAAGAAGCAAAGAGGGCGGGACGCGATGATGCAGGCCAGCGAGAAAAAAGCACTCATCTCCCGCCTGCAGCGCCCCTCGCTTCCAACTGCGCCCTTGGTGCTGCCTGTACAGGTGCGTATGCGTGCGTACGCCAATGTGCCGGCGTCTCTGCAGAGGCGGCCAAAAGCAAAGCACACAAGGCTACAGAGACGGTGTTGGTGTTGACATGTCGTCTGCCAATGGTAGCAGCAAAGGCCAAAGGATTGCGAGGCGCTGTTAGTGCCCGAGATGTGGTTCCTCAGCCGTTGGGTTGCGTACGGCGCAGGGCGATCACTGACGGATACGAGGTTACTAGTAGTCGTAGCGGCCAGCGATCTGACGACGGCAGGCTTGCGCCATCGGCCACGAACCTTCTGACTCGACGCCGCCCGGCGCCGGAGCAAGATACGACATGCGGAAGCTGGCACATGCTAAAAACTGGGCTTTCGCCTCAACATGCAGGCCTAGGGCCCTTTTGCTGCCACAGCCGGCGGCTTTTCTGCCTCAGAAGCAGCGAGCAGCGTGTTCGCCGAGGTTGGCCAAGCGCCCGCGGCCACGTCGGGTCGTGTCGTGTATGAGAGGTGGGGTTTCCGACGAGTGTACTGCTACTTGCACTTGCTGGGTACATGCTCCAGACGGCCAAATTCTGCTCTTTGCAACAAGCAGCCAAAGGCGCGCACGGCACACCCTGCGACATGCAATTTCCCCCACACCTCCCACCAGCCTCAACCGCGGGGCAGGGCGTGGTTGAGCCAAGATTGACGGGCGAGGCACAAATGCCAGCGCAGCCATGCCATGCCCAGCTACTTATCGCTCTGCCCTGCCTGCCGCACTCGCCCCCAGGCCGTCTTGGTCGTCTTCATGCGCGCCCGGCCAATCACGTGCGCCCTCCAAGCCCACCCCCTCGCACCCCAAGACGCTTACCGAGTATAAAAGTACCACCAAAGTCCTTCTCTCCCACAGCCTGGCCCATCTCGCCCTCGCACCGGGTTTCAGGAAGCGCCGCGTTCGGAACGTGTTTATGCCACGACAGTGCTCCTGCCCTGCCGTCTTACTGAGGCCTGCAAACCCGCCGGCCAGGTAGAGGCAATGGCCCTAGGTAGTGTACAGGCCAAGTTGCATGACGGTACTTTGGTACCTACTGTCGGCTCCTGTGCTAGCCGGCCGTCTCACTGTGGCACGTAACTTTATTTCCCACCCCCATAGCAGCGTCTTTGTCCCTCACGACTGCACTCTGCACTCCGCACTCCGCACTCCGCATTTCCGCACTCCACACTCTGCACGTAATGCGTAGAGGATAGAGTGCGGAGGGCCGTTGCTGACTGTCCACGGACTAGGCCGCCGCGTGCTTCACGCCGGCCGGCTGCCTTAGTCAGCCCACAAGACATTTGCGCCAGTTACAGGCTACTAGTAGAATCTAGAATCCATTACGCCGCCCTCAGCTGTAGGAACAACCGCAAACAGAGGGAATGGCTGTGAGCAGACCAAACACATGTTCAAGCGGTGAACTAGTACTCCCACAACAACAATAACAACCACTAGCCATGACTTTCGTATCGCTTCGTATCAGTACTTCTTGCTCTTCCTGTTCTTCTTGTTCGTGAATGCAAACCCATCTTTCCAGTCGACCAGCCATGGCTCCCATACCCATACGCCACATGCTTGACTCGCCCCCAGACTCACTCCGTACATGTGTGCGCCTTAATCCATCCGTATTCTCGTAGTGTAGGCAGCAGCGACATGGTAGCACAGCGCCTGATGACTGGCGACGAGAGGGCCAAGTGCATCGTGGCCACAACACAAGGGCTGACCTCACATGACGACGGACTTAACCGGACTTGTCCTTTCACGTGAATGACTGTCTTTTTTTTCTGATATTCAGGCGTCATTGTGCATGGGCTGCGATACAAGACGTCAGTACTCCTCCAGTCACCAATGTTTTTGCATCCTGCCGTCGCGGGGTCATTTGCTACAGCCTTTGTATGGCTGGCCAGCCCTCCATGCCGTCGTGACCATTGCAGTGCTGCCTGTTGCTCCTCTCCTCCATGACAGCCAGCGTCTGTGCCCAATTGTGCGACCTGGGGGTTTGCGGACCACACACGTTGGCAGACCACCAGCAAAAGTCGTACTGCGGACGAAAACCACAAGGGCAATCACAATCCCCATGACAATAAACGCGTCATGACGAGGAATCCGTCCTCCGAAAAAAAAGCAGGGTTCAGTGCAGTACGTACATACACAACGTATGCTAATGTACACTACATTATGGGCTTGGTCGGCGTTGTGGCGAGACAGAGTGGGAGAGGCGACACTATGGCATGCCATTATCCATTCCCCCGCCTGCCTTATCGGATGCATCAACACACACACACACAAGTGCTCGTGCTGTCCGCCATGGCCCCTCAACAACAGCCCTCTCCATTCAATACTGCAATGACAATGTCGTGACTCTTCAACGGGCAAGCACATGCAGAGATGTAGTCACAGCAAACCGCGGTTTGGACGTGGCGGGCGCAGGTGTTGGGGCTGACGTTCAAGGGCTCGGCTAGGCCAACATCCTTGTTGCGGCTTAGCCTGGCACTCAAACAATTTTCGAAAGAGCCCAACCGCCGTCCCTCTTCACACCCGTCTCTCCATAGCGAGAACATCTACCAACTCGACACGCAGCGGACTCGGTGATCATCACAAGAGCCGCTTGCTTGCTGGTTTCACGAATTTATTCGTCGAAGTCCATCCCCCCCAATCCGGACACGGAAATCCTGTCGAGACTCCTTCATTGAAGCGCTCGGACAGCCTCCAACGCCCTGTGTAAAGGAGTTGACCTCTGCCTTTTGCCTCATCCAAAAGACACTCTTTTCTGCTCCGCCCCGAGTCGCTGCTGCCAGCAACTCATTAATACCGCAGAACCCACCCCGCCCTCCCTCGCTCGAATCTGGGATTCCCGCGACAACGTCATCCGCCAATATCCATCAAAACCCATTGTCCAGCCCGCCGACCGCATCCTCATCCCCGCCTCTCCCACCGCCATCACCGAGTCCATGAGTAATTCCATCTCCAACTCGCAGACCCCGCCCATCGCCGCTTCCTCGACTACGACCGCGAACAACTCCTCCTCAGGATCGTCCGCCACCGTGGCCGCTGGATCGGCGCAACCCGCTGCCCGGAGCTCTTACGCAAACGCGACCAAGCCTGCAATCGTGTCTAGCGCAACCCCACCCGTGGCAGTGGGAGCACCCCAGAGCGCGCAGCATGGAAAGAGCTCCTCTGTCTCCCCGGTGAACGGCAACAGTGCCATCAAGCCCGCCATTCCCGCCATGCCCACCATTGTGAGCGGCGGCCCCAACGGCAGCGCAAACACTCATGAGCGCAAGTCGTCTGTTCAGATCAAGCAGACTCCGCCCGTCGCCACTGCAGGCGGCCCCCCCTCCGGTATCAAGTTCGGATCGCTCGCCGCATCCCCAGCGCCTGCCCACGCCTCACCCGTAGTCCAGGGAAACCTGAACCCCCAGGCACAGAACCCACGCGTTGCTTCTCCAGCACATTCACCCTCACCCATTCCTACCCCCATTTCTGGCGGCCCCAAGCCTGACGGTCTGCCCACTCGACCAAATCTGGTGTTTGGTGGTCAAGGCGGTGAAGGCACCGAGTCAAACGTAAGTCCGCGCTTTGCTTCGGATGCGGCCCCCACCATTTTCAGCCTCACATGCTAACCCACATCCAGGCTCGCCCTACCATGCCCCCTCAACCCAACTCGCATTCGCTTCCTCAGGCTCAACACTTGCGCCGCGAATCCTCCCAGTCTGCACACAGCGACATGAGCAATGCAAATATGGGTCGAGGCTACCCTCCTAGCCGCGGCCGTGGTGGGTACCCACAAGGACACTACAACCCACAAATGGCAAACCACTCGCCACAGCCATACCGCTCCATGCCTCAACAAATGGGTCGCGGTATGACCCCGCCATTCCAGCCTCCAGGCCAGATGGCGCAGCGTTCTCCATACACGCAGAACCGCAGCCCCGCTATGACGCCCGCCACTATGCATACGCAACAGCAGTTTGCCAATCCACAGGGTATGCCATATTACCAAGGACAGCCCTATGCTCAGCAGGTGTGTATTACCATCTACCATTTTTTTTTACTCCCCCCAACCCACAATCATTTTCTCTGTTTTCTGGTTTCCAGTCCAATTGTCTTCCACTGAACCACAAGTCTCCACATTTTTTATTTTCTCATACTGTTTGCCAGCGAATGACGAAGAGCCTTTTTCGAACACTCTGTCAATGTTGCCCAACAATTTTTCTCGCTTTTTTTTTCCCACCCCTCCATCTATTTTTTTTCCCCAGAAAACCCACCACACCAAACCCTTCCTAACCGTGATATACATTTAGGCCATGTACGGTATGCCACAACCTGGCCTTGATCCATACAACAATTTCTACCCTCAAGGTCAGGGCTACGGACTACAGCAGTCCATCCACTATCCAGGTGTTCCCGCCAGTCCCGGTCGTGGCCACGCCTTCCCTCCGCAAATGCAGCCGGCTCCTTATGGTGTTGCACCCTACAGCCACCAACCCCAGGCTCAGAGCATGTCCCGTACGCCGTCTAACATGTCGGAGCGCCCATCATCTGCTGTTCCGCAGCCATCTACCCCTGCGATGACCAACGTCAACCACATCTCGCACACACACACGCCCAGCATGGGATCGGCGAGCCCAGCACCCACCACGAGCTTTGAACGTCCAAAGAGACAAAGCAAGGCCATAGTTATCAAGACTGCCGATGGTGAGGTTGTCGACTTCAACAAGGGCAAGGGCTCATCACCCGCTCCATCTGCTACCGCATCTGCCCCACCCGCTGCTCCCAGGTCACCAGCTATTGCCGCTACTCCCACTCCTCCCCGCGCACCAAGCGCCTCTGATGCCACTCGCGCTGAAGATACTGCCGCTAAGAAGGCCGACTTTGTCAAGCAATTCCAAGAGAAGCTCCGTCTCCAGGAAGAAGCTGAGAAGAAGGCCAAGGAGGCCAGTGAAGACGAGGCAAAGGCTGAGGCCAGCGCTAAGCTTGCTGCCAAGGAAGAGGCAGAGGCCAAGGCTGCCCTTGAGGCTAAGCAGAAGGAGGAAGCTGAAGCTGCCAAGAAGGCTGAGTTGGATGCAGAAGAAAAGAAGCGTAAGGAGGACGAAGAAATGGAGCGCATGATTGCCGAGATGGAGGAAGAAGAGAGGAAGCGTGAAGAGGAGGAGAAGCGCTATGCTGAAGAGAAGAGGAAGAAGGCCGAGGCTGAAAAGGCCAACGCTGCTGAGAAGATCAAGCAGGAGGAAGAGCGCCTTCGCAAGCTCGAGCGCGAGGCTGAAGAGGCCGAGGCAGCTCGTGCAGCAGAGACTCCAGAACAAAAGGCCGAGCGCGAGGCCAAGGACAAGGAGCTCTTCGCAAGCCTCAAGAAGAACACCATGTTTGGCCCTGGTGCCTCGCAGACCGAGGAACCAGCAGAGCCCGCTCCTGTGGTTGCTCCTGCGCCCTCCAAGACACCAACTGGCACAAAGCCCAAGCCAGCTGCTCTCAAGCTTGAAACCAACAAGTCTGTTGAGCCTGCTCAGCCAACTGCTGGTATGCAAGCACTCAAGACTGCACGCTTCCTCGAAGTCCGCAACGAGATTCAGTACCCGCAAGGCGTTTCAAGCCCTAACCCGGCTCTAAACAACAGCAACCGCAGCAAGGGCCGTCAGTACGACAAGGACTTTTTGCTCCAGTTCCAGGACGTCTTTAAGGAGAAGCCTTCTGTTGACTGGGATATGAAGTTGAAGGAGACTGTTGGTGATGAGCCTGCTTCGGCTCGTGGTCCTCCATCGGCTCGCCCTGGCTCTATGATCGGCGGCGGACGACAGCCTTCTCGCGGCGCTGGCGGCGGTGGTGGTGGCATGGGCACATTTGGCCAAGGCGGCTCATTGGGAGGAGGTCGAACTCTCCCACCAGGTACGACATCCGAACAGCGTTTCCAGCAAGCCCAAGGTGGACGTGGCTCTATGACGAACCCTCTTGCTCATGTCGTTCTAGGTGGTGGACGTGGTGGCGCATTCCCTATGGCACCCCCAATGGTTCGTACCAGCTCGTACCAGAGCATGCCCCATGGACCCAATTCTCCTCGTGTTGGCAGCTCTCGTGGTAAGGGAGGCGGCAGCCGCCGCGGTGGTAACAACAACGCTGCTGCAGACGCCAAGGCCATGCCTCTTACTGCCGGTCAGGAGGTTAAGGCCCTCCAACGCTCGCAGACTGGATGGGTTCCCCAATCGATTGTTGCGCCCGCATCAGCCGCGCCGCCTTCAGGCCACATGCCTCCTGACATGGTGCAGCGTAAGGTCAAGGCTGCTCTCAACAAGATGACACCCGACAAGTTCGACAAGATTTCAGACCAGATTCTCGAGATTGCTGGGCAATCCAAGGATGAGACTGACGGCCGCACGCTCCGCCAAGTCATTCAGCTCACGTTCGAAAAGGCCTGTGACGAAAGCCACTGGTCTTCCATGTACGCCAAGTTCTGCAGTCGCATGCTGCAGACCATGAGCACAGAAATCAAGGACGAGAACGTCCGAGACAAGCATGGCAACCCTGTGGTTGGTGGTGCTCTCTTCCGAAAGTACCTTCTCAACCGTTGTCAGGAAGAGTTCGAGCGTGGTTGGGAAGTCAATCTTCCCGACGCTCCCGAGGACGGCAAAGAGGCCAAGCTGCTTTCAGACGAGTACTACGTTGCCGCTGCTGCTAAGCGTAAGGGTCTCGGTCTGATCCAGTTCATCGGAGAGTTGTACAAGCTCGGCATGTTGACGCTACGAATCATGCACGAGTGTGTACTCAAGCTTCTTGACTTTGAGGGCCTTCCTGATGAGGCCGCCATCGAGAGTTTGGTCAAGCTGCTCCGCACTGTTGGTGCCACCATGGAGTCTGCCGAGGCTGGCCCCAAGATGATCAACATGTACTTTGAGCGTATCGAAAAGGTCATGAACATGGAGGGTCTTCCTTCGCGTATGCACTTCATGTTGCTGGATACTGTTGATCTGCGCAAGGCTGGATGGAAGTCCAAGGACAACCTCAAGGGCCCCAAGACTATTGCTGAGATTCATCAAGAGGCCATGGCTGCTCAGCAGGCTGCCGAGATGGAGCGCACACGTTCGAACCAGCGCGGTGGTGGTGGCCGTCTCCCAATGGGCCGCGGCGATGCCCGCTCATTCTCTGGCGCTGGCATGCAGCCGCCTCCCGACACTGGCAGTCGTGTACAGATGGATGACCTGCGCAAGCTTTCCAAGGGCGCTTCTGGCCGCAACCTCAACAACGCCGGCGCACTTGGTCCGTCTATGCTCGGCAGCCGCAGCGGTAGCGGCCGTCGTGGTCTCGGCCCTAGCATGATGGGTCGTGGCGGTGACGACTCTGGAGCTTCTTCACGCACTGGTACTCCGCCTGTGCAGAAGGAGAAGGACTCGAATGCCCATGCAAATGCTTTCAGGTAAGTTAACATATCGGCCAACATATAAAAATCTGTACTAACATCATGACAGTGCGCTAGCAGCCCTTAGCAACGAAGATGCCGGCGAGGCAGCCTCTTCGTCGCAAGCTCCAGAAGAGAACTCTGCTGAGGCGGAGGCCAAGTCATCCGAGTGATTACTTTTCTTCGTTCAGGCGCGTGACGGTTATACCCCTAGACCATGCCGCACGCGGTAATCTAATCGCTTGTTTCGTTGCATAGACGGGGGCATGTGAGCGCGCATTGTTCTGCATTTTGCAGGGTTTCCTTACTGCAGCTTTTCAAGACTGGTGGATTCTAAAAGTTTCCTTGTTGTCGAGCGCCAGGTCGTTTCCAGATGGGCTTGGGTTCTCAATCTCTTCACGGGTGACCTTTAAAAAGCTTCGACTTTTTCTTCACGCATGTTTATCACGGCACTACCAAACACGACGGCGTTCCGGATATAAAGAGGGAAGGTGGCCCAAATTGCACGCTTTTCATAAGCGTCATGGGTGTTATCCTGGGGCTCTGATTCTGCATCCCCATTTTCCTTAGGTTTGTCATCTCTTTCTGTCACGATGGGGGTAGGGTTGGACAGGTGGAAGGGATGTCGTATTCTCCTGTCAAGGTCTTTTTTTTCAATTTCCGCAACTTCGATGTACTTTTCCTCTTTCTTCTTTTCTTCTTTCTGCTTCTCCTCATCCACACTTTTCTTTTTGCAAACGAAGAGTGGGTAGCTTTATGGTGCGGTGCCGCCGACGACAGCAGACGTTGCTTAGGCATGCAACCTGCAAACCAAAAATGACTTGGGTCATGAGAAGCAGGGTTTTTATGTGATTGAACAAAAGGTTAGCATGGAATGACGGAGGATGAAAACTGCTGTGTATTATTGTTCGTTTGCTCTAGTTAGAATGCATTTGTTCTATTCACAGGTTGCATCCATTGTGTAGGTTGTGTGATGTTGTTATACCGCTTGTCCCTGTGTCTAGCTTCCTACTGTCTACCTACAATTGAGTCCAAACCGGGCCTAGGGGAACCCAATTTGCTCTGTGCAAGTCAAGTGACGTTGTGATTTTGATTACCACGCAGAAAAAAAAAGGATCGACGAGGTGACAACGATGGGGAGAGGAGGGGGGTAAGAAGGGGGGCCAAAGACGTGCAGGGACCAGGAGAACGAGGTTACGTCATATCAACTAAACATGAGATCAACCCTTGTCTGCAACAGTTATAAAAAGTCGTGAATCGCTGCCGGAGAATCTAGACTATTACATATCACACTTGACTTTGAACATAACCTCTGTATCGTTTTTTTTTCTTTCTTGGAACAAAAATACGCGACTCGAAGATTTAGACTTGAGATTCAACATGGCTGAGCAGAACGAACCGCAGCAGCAGAAAGGTAAGCTTTACACTTGCTATGGAATGGAGGTGATGTTTTATTTAAGATAGAGAAAGAGAGAGAGAGAGGGATTGATAATGTGTAGGGTTTTTTTGGGACGGCAGCGAGTGGATTAGGTATGTGGATTTTTCTCTTTTTGTTTTTGCCTTTCTCTTTACCTCGTTCCCCTCTGCATCATTCTCTGCCCACACATTCTCCTCCATCCTTTCCTACACCCATTTCCCACCCCCACACACACACACACACACACACACACACACACACACACACACNCACACACACACACACACACACACACACACACACACACACACACGCCTTCCCCAGCTCACCATGCTAACACAACCCGCCAGGTAACACCCTCGGCGCCGCAACCAACACCGTCGGAAAAGGCGTCCAAGGCATCACGGATACAACGGGCAACGTAGTTGCAGCCGGTGGCAAAGGCTTGGGCGATGCGGTGACGGGGGTTGCATCTGGAGTTGGGGATACCACAAAAGGTACGTTTTGCCCTGTGATGGATTTGAGGAGGCTTGACTCCGATTTTGGGGGGATAAGAAAAGCTGACGTTGACGTTTTTTGGGGGTTGTGTAGCCGCGGGGAAGTTTGTGGGGGATACGACGCAAGCTGGGGGAAAGAGTGTTCAGGGGGAGAAGAAATGAATTAAGGAGGTAGAAGGAGGAGGAGGAGGAGGAGGAGGAGGAGAAGAAGAAGATTGAAGAGATGATGATGATGATGATTCAATGTAGTGAAGGAATCTCTTGCTCCTTTGAGCAGACTATGCTATATACCATCTTCCCCTTATCTCTCTCTCTCTCTCCTTAACCAAAGCCAAAAACAAGCCGTATGTGTGTGTATTTTTTTCCAACAAACCCCTCCCTTCACAACCGCACGCCTATTCCGCCCCTCCCAAACTCGCCCCTCAGCCCCAACCTCAACAAATCGCCCTGCAAAACCTCCGCCTTCCTCTCCATCAAATCCTCCACATCCCAATTCACACTCACAAACCGCCCACTCAACCACCTCGCCTTGTCCTGACACACCCACACCGCCGTGCCGCCCACCAACTCGGCACTATCGTTGTTGAACCGCGAGCGAAACGGCTCGCGCAGCATGTCCGTCGCCACCAGGCCCGGGTGCATGCTGATGGCGGTGACGCAGGGGTACTCGGCGGCGACGTGTGCGGCGAGGGCGTCGACGGCGAATTTGCTCATCAGGTAGCCGCCCACGGGCGGCACCGTGAAGAAGGATTGCCACGAGCTGAGGCTGAGGATTGTGGCGGGCGTCGAGGGCGACGGGAGTAGCGAGAGGAAGGAGCGCGTTACTAGGTATGTGCCTTTTGCGTTGATTTCCTAGGTAGGGGGAATCGTTAGGCAACTTCTCTTCTTCTTCTTCTTCTTTTTTGGGGGGATTACTGGGCTTGGGGAAAGAAGCTGACAGAGAGAGAGACGTACGAAATTGTTCCACCATTCGTCGACGTTTGTCTCGTGGAGTTTGGGTCCGTCGCCTGTTAGGACGCCGGCGGCGTTGATGAGAATGTCGGCGTGGCTGAAGCGCTGCTTGATTCTTTCAAAGGCTTTTTCTACGCCTTCCGACTTGGAGATGTCGACGGCGCAGGTTAGGGTTTCGAGTTCCGGGTTGGCTTGTTTGACGGAGGCTTCGACGGTGGATAGTTTGGCCGCGTTGGAGGCAACGAGGACCATGCCTTTGACACCGGCTTTGGTGAATGCTGGTATCATTGCCTATTTTTTTTTTCACAAAGACATATGTGTTAGTTTGGAGCATGGTATATGTTAATGAGAAGTTTTTGTACGTACTGTAGCTCCGATTCCGCGGGAAGCTCCAGTGATGATAACGACTTTGCCTGCTAAGCTGTGTTCTGGGAGACTTGGATCAATTGCTGGATACGCATCTTGGTGTGCACGTTTTGTGAATTGCATTGATTTGACATAGTAGTCCTTGGGGAGGTCACTTAGATTCGGTGCCATTTTTCGATATCGAAATGGTGTGATACTGTATAAACAAGGTTGTGAGAATCCAGCGGAGCGATGTTAAATCTGGTCAGATGCTTTTTTTTTTGGAGATCCCCTGCTTTTAAAATACTCTTTGATTATCGCTTCCTCTAACATCTCCACTTGTCGGACAGGGATGCAACCGCTGATCTTGCATGTCCCAGATTGCATCCTGCGTTCTGTTTGTGACACCTGCCTCGGCATGCACCGCTTGCAGTGCTTTGCCGCATCGAGCGGTCGCCCGTTTAAAAAGCCGGCATGTAGGATGCTGGCTCTGTCTTGTTGGGCGTTAGTGCAGGTGGATCCTTGCGTGGCTACAGAACTTGAGCAGGCGCAGGTGGCCTAATGTATCCAACGGTCTACCTGTACACCGTTGTTCGATCTGCAAGTCACTCATCTTGAAACCTCTTGCATGGAAGTATATTTCCACTCCATATCGATTCGGATGTTTGTACAATCTTCTTGTAAGTTCATGTCCAGTAAAGGATGAGTAGAAGACTGTAAATTGAGAACGTTATCTGCTCTATAAAAGTGGCCACAACACTGAACACGTGGAAGGATCTGTAGGAAAAACAGTCTAGTTTTCAGATATCAACAGGTGCTACAGAACCTCCTGTTTTCGAACAGAACTTCCTTGTGGCTGGTGTGATGGAAAAATGTGGCAAAAGCAGGGCTTCGTAAGAAGTATGTGGTAGCCGGGTATATTTCAATCCTATCAAATCGAGGCCTAAGTATTCCACTGTGTGCCAACAATGCAAAAGATCCAGGGCTACAAAAACCACAAAGGCTTCACAAATGTCAAATGTTCCTCATAAGCATACGCATGCAGCGCAACTAATTTATTCTTCCACATCGCGCACAAGCCTCAAATGGCCGCACGTGTCTCCTCTTGTAGATAAACATTTAGATACCCAGAGTAAACTCAACACCAACATCGATATCACGTGCCATCTTGACAACCTTTGAGAATTGGACCGACTTCTCAGCAGCACCCTGGAGATCATCGATGGAGAAAATCTTAAGACCAGAGTCGTTGATCTATTACAGAGAACACATTAGCAAAAAATCATCCATCTCAAAGTCTGACTTGCTGAAAAACTTACAAGCTTCTGCGCGGCCTCCATGTTGGTACCTTGCAACCTGGCAATAACAGGTGTCTTGAGGTTCATTTCCTGGACAACCTGAATGAGACCCTTGGCAATGGCGTCACAGCGGACGATACCACCAAAGATGTTGACGAAAATGGCAGTGACCTTAGGGTCGCTGGTGATGAGTTCGAAAGCTTGCCTGATGGCCTCGGGGGTAGCACCACCACCGACATCCAAGAAGTTAGCGGGCGCACCGCCGTTGAGCTTGATAATGTCCATGGTAGCCATGGCCAGACCGGCACCGTTGACGAGGCAGCCAATGTCGCCGTCGAGCTTGATGAAGTTGAGACCAACCTTGGCGGCCTTGACCTCGTCGGGGTCTTCCTGGGTAATGTCCCTCCAGTCAAAGACCTCCTTCTGACGGAAGTCGGCGTTGTCGTCAAAGTTGAGCTTGGCATCCATGGCGAGGACCTGGTGGTCGGTAGTCTCAGAGAGGGGGTTGATCTCGATCTGGGTGGCGTCCTTCTCCATGAAAACCTTGTACAGCTTCTGGATGGTGTCCTTGGCATCTTCAATGCACTGCTCCGAGAAACCAAGCTCGGTCGCAATGTTGCGCGCCATTTCGTCGGTGACGCCCTTGTGGATATCAATGGGGGTGGTGATGATGGCCTCGGGGTGCTCCTTTGCGACGGTCTCAATGTCCATTCCACCTTGCGACGAAGCGACAATGACGGGGCCTTGGGAAGCGCGATCCATGAGGATGGCGAGGTAGAATTCACGGCGGGCAAACTTGCGGTCGACAATGAAGACCGAGTTGCAGAGCCGGCCGGCGGCTCCAGTTTGCTTGGTGATGAGCTTGTGGCCGATCATCTGCTCGGCAAGGATGGCTGCTTCGCGGGGACTGCATGTTGTGTTAGAGAGCTGGCCGTGGTGTTGCAGTAGAATGGGGTAGCATACGAGTAGACAACCCTGACACCGCCCTTGAAGCCGTTGTCAAAGGTTCCCTTTCCACGGCCTCCGGCAAGAACCTGGGCCTTGATGACGGCATCCTCTCCGCCTGCACACATTAGCCCCAGAACCAAAGTGCCCATCTACTCTTGCTGGCGCATACCAATGTCCTGGGCAATCTTCTCAGCCTCAGCGCCGCTGGTAGCGACGCCGCCCTTGGGCACGCCAATGCCATACTGGGGTTCGTGTTAGATGTCCAGGCCCGCCAAAGAGTGGGATATTTCAGCGGAGCACTCGTACCGACTCGAGCAGGGCTGCGGACCTGTATTCGTGGATGGCGAGGCCTCTCCTTTGCTGGATGACGGAGCGCTTCAGTGGTGTTTCCTGGCATTGGTTAGCACTGCATGCTCGTTGGTGGGCGGGCGCCAGGTGTGCAAGAGCCTTTTGCAGCTCGTGGGAGAAGCCATTGAGTGTGTACATACAGCAGCAGCGCGAACAGCGCGAGCCAGCGGCCGGGCGCGGGCAAAGTTGTACATGATGTCTGGAGTCGCAGACACACGTTTGGGTATATGGGCGGGGGTGTTTAGAGGGAGGGAAAGCTCTTGATGCACAGCTCCGTTTGATGTCGGCTGCTTCACAGGGCTGTTTGCGGACGTCTGCTAGCGTGCCGAGAATGAACCGGGTTCTCAAAAATATCGCGGCCGGGAACTTGGTCGTTTTGAGCCCCAAAATCCCAAGCGCCCCTGGATAAGTCCGCGCCGGAAATGTCAAAGAGAAATAATGATGGCGATGTCATCGCCAATCGGATAAGTCTTCTTGAAGCAAAGGGACAGAAGCTCTTAGCCTCGCTTTACGGGTCGCGGCCAGACTGGGAGACGCGGGACAGTGCTGCGACGCCTCAGGATGAGGATGATCAAGATCTCAAACAAAATTACGCCCATGACAGGTGACGCTCCAAACGACTGTTTTCTGCAACTGCGCGTGCTAACATTCATGTTCAGGATTGGTCTTGGCAGTATACTTCCAAAGGATGTTGAGAATGGCAGCTTCACCAGGAGGACGCTAACGTCAGACGACAAGCTGCTGCAGCAGTTGATCGGCAAGAAAAAAGCCAAGGCTCATATCATGGCGAAACAGGAAGCTGCGAGGCCGAGTGCAGCGACCAAAGCTCATCAATACAGCAAACCTACTGCTGTGAAAAAGGATGCTTCCGACGATGAAGAAGATGGGAGGGCCGCTACTTTCAAGTCAAAGAGAGAGGGTAGGAAGACGAAGAAGCCGCCCAAAATGCCGGACAGTGACGACGAGGATGAAGAGACGAGAGCAAAGAGACTAGCAGCAGGCGCAAAGACTGAAGACCAGGAGACAAAGGAGGTTACTACGGAGACTCCGGTCGAGGACAAGTCGTCTGAAAAAGTGCAAGAGGAAGAAGAAGCAGAGCTTGGACAACCAGCTCCCAAGAAAGTAAAAACTAAACCAAAGAGCTTTTTGGACGAGCTTCTGGCAGAGCGCTCCAAGAAGAAGAGCAAAAAGAGCAAGGCCTAGGTCGTCACTTTTTGCATCCCAAAGGCGTTCTAAACCATAGTCATTTGATACCCCAGTCATTGATTTAATTTTTATTTCCGATATACCCTACTCCCGTACAATCAAGCTGGCCATGCCCATTCCAGTGCCTATGCATTTGCTCAGCACGCCCACTTGCTCGCCACTTCTGCCCATTTCGTGTAGGAGCGTGGCAAGCATCCTGCCGCTCGTCGCTCCCAGCGGGTGGCCTAGTGCAATGGCGCCTCCGTTAGGATTGATCTTGTCCATTTTGTTCTCAAGTCCCAGCTTCCTGATGCAGTACAGCGCCTGACTCGCAAAAGCTTCGTTGATCTCCCACACATTGACGTCTGATGTCTGAAGGCCCGTGTAGTCGAGGAGCTTGGGGATAGCAAGAGCTGGTCCAACACCCATTTCATCAGGCGTGCAACCGACAACTTGTGTCCCGGCCCACTTTCCGATGATTTGCTTTTCTAGACCCAGAGCCGTGGCTGTCGATCGGCGCATCATGAGCGCTGCACTCGCTCCATCCGAAACTTGACTGCTGTTGCCTGCTGTGCTTGTACCGTTCTTGTCAAATGCCGGCTTCATCGTCGCCAGTTTCTCCACCGTAGTCCCTGGCCGAATTCCATCATCCTTGGTGACAGTCACCTGCTTTTGGTTTTCCGGTACCTCGGGCTCAATCCATCTGGTAGTGACCGGAACGATCTCATCGTCGAACAATCCGTTCGCTTGCGCCTTGGCAGCCCTGTTTTGCGATTCCGCAGCGAAAGCATCTTGGTCAGCGCGAGTGACGCCATATCGACTCGCGACGTTCTCAGATGTAATTCCCATGCTCATGATGCAGTCTCGTGCATCCTTGACCGGGCTGTCCTTCATCTCTGGCCAGAGTTCTGTGGGTATAGCCCTGCTGCCATAGTTGCGCGTCATGCTCTCCATGCCTCCTCCAATGCCAATGTCGATTTGGCCAACAGCGATGGAGTTTGCGATTGACGTAATAGCAGATAGGCCCGATGCGCAGGCGCGGTTTACGGTGCTGAAAGAAGTCGTTGTGGGAATGCCAACATGGTTTGCGGCCATGCGACCGGCTTTGGAGCCACCAAGCTCGGCGAGCACGGTACCCACGCAAACATCGTCTATCTTCGCTGGGTCAAGATTCGGAAACTTGTTGATGGTCGCTTTGAGGACCTGCCAATCCGTTAGTTCTTAGCACATTATAAACAGGACATTTGAGGGTAGTGTACCGCTCCCAAGAGTTCGTGGTCATATGCATCGCGCAGACCTCCCTTTTTGGCTCTTGTTACCGGAGTTCGGAGGGCAGATAGGAAGACGACATCATGTGGATTCTTCTGGAGAATGTTCTTGAGGCCCTTTTGCACGAAAGCCATGATGGCAAGATGACTTGTAATGAACCGCTGGAGATGGCGATTGTAGGGTATCAAGATAAGGGAAATGATACTGCAAAACGACACAAGAATCCAGGCCAAGTAGAAGAGGCTGAACTATTGCTGCACAAAGAAGCCATGGTTGTAGTAGTATGTAAGCTAACCCAGGCCCGAGGGATTGCGTGGAGCTTCGGCAAGTGACCGCGGAGAAGTCGCGGCAAAGGTCTTTTCCGGCTCACGTGCGACGGCGAACCGCATCGAAGAGATTCGGAACATTGCGATGTGCCACGACAAATGTTGGCCACAAGATCGCTGCAGAACAATATCACGGAACATGTTAATGTGTCAAGTCAGTACAAACAAAAGATAATTATTTGCAATCACGACCCTGCAATGATGTAACCATAACCGTTGCAATGTTTTTTTTAATTTCATTTGTAACTTGCATTGTCGTCTGCCAAAGCCCTCGAGATTCCAAAGAGATCTCCCGTCTGTTTCCACACCCTCAAACTGTACGCAGCACTCTACACTTTGTCCCAAGTCCCAACAGCGGGAACCAATCCACCGAGCGCAGCTGGCTGCCTATGCAGCGGGGTATACCAGACGGAAAACATCGTTGAGAACAAACCAGGTGCCGTTGTCGTTCTTAAGCTGGAATGCCTGGGTGAAGCTCATTGGCTTTTCTTCGCCCCCGATCTATCAAGAGTCAGTAGGAGCTTTGTGTTGTTGACAAGATCTACCCACCATGAGCGCGCCCGTAACAAGGACCATGATGCCATCTTCAGCGGAAGGCTGAGCATCAACGGTATCTGTGCGATGTTGTATCTGCTGGAATGGCAGGTTCTTACAAGAGTTAGCTTTGTCTTTCCTGGTCGGGTAGAATTGTTGTTACCTGGAGCTTCTCTACAATGGCAGCAGATCCCTGTGTTGGCGTCTGCTCAAAGGTGAGCATAGAATGCTCTTTCTGTGAATTTTGTGAGCCGGATGTCGTTGCACGCGCTTAGATCGGGTCGCATACGTAGAGGGAAGCGAGACCGGCGCGGTTTTTATCGAAGGTCTCGTAGTAGAACTGCACAAACTGCTCTGGCGCAAGGGTCAATCCCGGTCTGAGCGGAGGAGCGCAAGAGGCCAAACTTGTGGGCATTAGTTTGCCTCAAGTGACGGGCGGTACATACGGGCGATGGCGTTAAAGTCGGCTGTACAGAGTCAGTCTTAGTCGTTTCGGCCATTTCCCTCTCAAGAGCGGAAACGCATAGCTACACAGCATCAGAGGGCCGGTATCCAAGCGCAAGCCAACCAGTATCCATCTACAACCATGTTATAGTTTGATAGGAGGTGGCTCGACACTTGTTGCCAAAGGCGCATCGAGGCAGGGTGGATGGCGGGGTAGAAGCGGCAGACTTACACATGACTGCGAGCGTGTGAGAGTTACGGTGTTCGGATCGAGAGGATGATTAAGTTTTCAACAGATTCTCTGGTACGCGACAGCGGTGGAGGAGTGATTTGGCTATGTCACAAAGGTATGTTGGGAGCTTTTGCTGTCACAGCCCGCGTTCGCTGGGCTTCGGTGGTGGGGCAAGCCCTGCCTAATCTTGGAAGCCGTCGGCCCGACGTTTTGCCGAGCCTTCTATTTTCTTCGAAGCTCTGCATCGCGTTCCCTTCTCCCTTCATCGCTGGTCAACGCCCGAAAACGTCGTCCTTGAAGCAGGACAACGTGGGCGGTGGTGCAGCGAGACACTTCACAGGTAAGCACTTTCAAGTTCCCCTCACATTCTTGCATTATGATGATCATCATCAAACGATAACTTCCGAGTCAACGACGGTGAAGTCTAAAAACAAGATCAAGCTCAACAGGCTGATTTGCTCCTTTACACCTCATACTGTTCATTATCAAGTCGAGTGGTGTGCTAACATGCCATTGTCTAGTTTGAGATACATACTACCAACAGCGACGTGCTCTTGCAGATGCACAACGTATATAGTTCACGTAGTCAATCGAATACACTTTCAATGACTCCCACATGACCTCCCAAGCAATATTCCTAATCTACAATCCCTTCTTCTGGAATGACTTGACAGTATCGACTATAGATTGTTCAAAGGTCTTGTACTTCAAGCCAAGGACGTCAATGGACCTCTTGTTGTTGAACGTGTACAATCCCTTGTCGGGGGTACCTTCGGGGTAGTCGCCGCCAGGCGTTGAGTCGCTGGGCAAGTTTTTGAACTCTGGGAAGTTCTTCTTGATGATCTGGCACATTTCCTTGTTGGAAAAGTATCCAGCCGTGACAAAGAAGCGCTTGTTGGCCGCCTCGGGCTTCTCAATCGCGGCCACGTGTGCCTCTGCAACATCACGTACGTCTACCCAGAAGTGCACGCCGGAAATGGGAATTTCTTCCTTGAATTTGCCTTGGACGGCGGCGAGAATGCGCTGGTTGGATGTGTTCATGTTGTCGAGGCTGTCGAGAGGGTGTATCTTGATCATTGTCAACGATGCCATGCAAACATGGGAGGTTTCCTGGACTTACGATTGGGCCGTACACCATTGGTGGATTGATCGTAGAGAGGGTGAAGTTTGGCTTCTCCTTTTCTACAAATTCCCAGGCTGCCTTCTCTGCAAATGTCTTACTTGCTCGGTATCCTGCGACTGCGTCTTTGAGCGCATCTTCTAGCGTCATGGGGTTCCAGTCTTCCTCTGAGTATTCGTGTCCTGGCCAGAAGCCTTTGGATGGATTCACAATAGCGGCAAAAGACGATGTGATGACGACTTGCTTTACTGTTGGCGCATTCTTCTTGATGGACTTCAAGATGCCCGTGGTTCCAATGACGGCGGGGTCGAGTAAATCCTGTCTTGTTAGCGAGTCGTCCAAGCCTAGCGGAGGAGGGTGGTGTGCGCTCACTTTCTGGATATCGGTAACATTGAAGTGGAAGGGGCTGGCAGTGTGGAGTACAGCCTCGAATGGAGGGTCTGAAACAACGGCCTGGTCAAAAGCATCTGGCTGTGCGATATCTGGGACAATGGCAAAGTCCAACTGGCCCTTTTCAACATAGCTCTTGTACGACTCTTTGATCTTATCTGCCTTGTCTTGCGTGCGCACAGTGGTCACAACGCTGTGGCCGTGGTCGAGCAAGATATCAAGAGTGTGTGCGGCAATGAAGCCGCTGCCTCCGGTCAAAAGAACTCGCGTCATTTCGATGGTATGAAGGGAATTGGTGCGAGTGGGTGAGTATGTGTCCAGATGCTAATCCACAGGTCGAGTGTCGTGGCAGCATGTGTCTCTATGTAATATGTAGCCCTTATACCCTCGCTAGCGCGGGGCAGTATTGTCCCGAGTGTCGCGATTACATAGCAGGTCTAGTTCCCTTACCGGCTGCAATGGCGGCATCACGGCTGATAAAGTCGTGCTGTCAGTCTGAGTGATCGCGGCGCCATTGCGTCACCAGCGATGCGACACTTTTGGTGGGGCATACTGCGTCTTCGTGTCACCCTTCCGGGGTACTGCGAACAACTGCTGGTCGGCAGCTTCACCCCGCTTGGGCTTCCCGAACGGACTGTCGACTTCCCAGTAGACTCCGCAGCACAGCCAAATTTTCATTCTTGAGTGGTTCGGACTGCGCCTGTGATACGTGCTCCGGAGCAGACGTCGCGTGCCAACACACCAGAGGTTGAGCCTGGGAACCGGATACAAGCTAGGTTTGCAGTCAGTGTTGGGACCGGACCGGTGTAGAGTTTCTGTCAAGCTGATTGAGCGGGCGTCTAAGTATGTATAAGCGAGTACAGATTCATCATGGGAAATGCCAGTCGGCGGTTGAGGGTGCACTGCCCGTACGTACGGCCTGCCATTAACTCCGAGCCATGCCTTGCTCATCATATGGGCAAAAAGGCCCCACCTGCAACTTGAGATGCCTCCCACATAGCCCCCTTCCCCGCCCGCCACTTCATCTCGCCCTTCCAATCCGAACAGCATTCACTGTGCTGGGTGAGGCTTAGCTTCGTTTCGCCAACGCTAAATCGGGCATGCTTGCGCTACCACAGGATCCAGTAATGCTCCATGAGCCTTGAATGCAGGTCCCCCATGCGGGGCAAGCCGACAAGATGAGGGGCCATTTTTTCGCCAGACACCTGCTGCCTTTTCAACTCTTGCTCTCTTCTATACCTACGCTGTCAAACTGAACATGGCATCCCTCAAGAGAAGCCCACCTTTCCGCGCCGAGCACGTCGGCTCATTGCTCCGTCCCCAGGAGCTTGTGCAAAAGCGTTACGATGTCGCCTCGGGCAAAGCTCAGCCAGAGGAGCTTGTGCCTCTGGAAGACAAGGCTGTTGCAGAAGTGGTCAAATTCCAGCAGGATTGCGGGCTCAAGGTCGTCTCTAGCGGCGAGTATACCAGGTCAGTAGCGTTGCATAAAGTCAAACCAGGCCTGCGCTAACTTTAGGACCAGGCATATGTTCTGGGGTACCTTTTTTGAAACACTTCACGGCATGAAAGAGCTACAGCTTGGCGTCCTCAAGGGCTACAACAAGGACATGTTTCGCGCTTATGCGCCGGACGTCAAGTCGTTTATGGAAGCGAAGGAAGTACCCAACCATGTCACTGTCTGCGTCGACAAGATTAGACACCCTGGAAAATCCAGCAATCAACGAGAAGTGGATTTGATGAAGAGCCTGCTTCCAGAAAGCGAATGGAAGAACATCAAAATCACGCTCATCTCGCCGTCCTGGTACCATTTCCGTTACATGAATGGCTCAGCCTACCCGAAAGAAGTGTACGCGAACGACGAGGAGTATTTTGAAGATGTTGCCAAGGCGTATCAAGAAGAGCTCAGGATCCTTCACTCGCAGGGAATCAGGAATATCCAGATTGACGACCCCAATCTTGCCTATTTTTGCTCTGATGACATGCTGGCAGGATGGAAAGCGGACAAGACGAACAGCAAGACGGCTGACGAGATGTTTGACTCGTATGTAAAGTTCTACAATAAGTGCTTCGAGCGGCCCGCGGACATGCATCTCGGCATCCACTTGTGCCGCGGCAACTACGTTGGAAGCCGGCATTTCAGTGAAGGTGCATATGACCTTATCGCAAAGAAGCTATTCCAGGTACTACAGTCCCCACAATCGATGGCACGGCAATGCTAACCGACGCAGGATCTCGAAGTTGACACTTACTATCTTGAATACGACACACCTCGCGCCGGAGGTTTTGAGCCGCTAGAACACCTTCCAAAAGGCAAGAATGTAGTCCTAGGCGTCATCACGTCCAAGTTCCCCAAGCTCGAAGACAAGGACGAGATGATCGCCAGAGTCAACCAGGCTGCGGATTGGATTGCAAAGGGCACTGGTCAGTCACGCGAGGACGCGCTTAAACAGTGCTGCGTTAGCCCGCAGTGTGGTTTTGCATCACACGCTGAAGGTAATGCATTGGGTTATGAAGACATGAGGAAGAAATTGCAGCTTGTCAGGAGCATCGCGGATGCCGTGTGGCCCGGAGAGCCTTAGACGCTAAGGAGGCGAAAAAGAGGAGTCTAAGACACTGCTGCGGGGGGTTCTTGACACATACAGTAAGGGGAAGCAATGCAGGAGTAGTGAATTCGAACCGAATGCCGAGTTCAACATGGCGTTTGTATGGGTAGTTCTATCGATTTAGGTGGCGGCAAGCGAGTCAGGTTGGTGCATTGTGTGGCGAAGAAGGAGAGGGACAAAAAGGAAGACGAAGACGACGACGCCTGTTCAACCATTTTGTCAACGTCGCTTACAACGAATATCATCATCATTGCGGGGCCTGAAATCGGCAACTCGCATAGCCACGTGGTGTACCGGTGCTCATGCTCAGTTCATTATCAAGTACAGGTCCAGAGAGCCTACAGTGCACGTTGCGGCTAACCTGGCTTTGGTCTTAGTGTCCGTTATCCTTGAACCGTTACTCCACAAGTCCCTCCCGCTTCGGGGGGGACGTCCGTAGTCGGGAAATGACCGAGAATAAGGCCATGTTCCTTACAGGGAAAATACATTTCGTGATCCAGGGGCGCATCATCGGCGACAAGCACAAAGGGGAAGGTGTGTTCTCGTCGTGAGGAGCACATGTTCACTGTCTCGTGTTGTAAGCGAGCAGCACTGTCGAGAAGACACAGGCTATGCGTGGTTGCTACTGTGGAAAGAAATCCCAAAGTGCTTGCACCAAGCAGTGCTTGGCTCTTTTGGCGGATCACTTCCCATGCCATTGGGAGCCTTCACTGCACACTGAATCCCTCGGGTATCGCAAGCGGTGGGTGGCCTGGTTCGGACGAAATGCTCCCCTCACAAACCGTAATTTGCGACCCGCCGTGATCCCTACCAGTACCCGCAGGATCTACATACAGGCTTTCTTTGTAGGCATTGTCTTGCTGGCCTAGAAGAGACCAAAAACCGCGACTATTGAGCACCGCTGGGACGGTACGAATATGCGACCAATAATTTTCCTTTCCGCCTGTTGCATTCATCGCCTCGGCCGCGTCAATAAGGGGGCACTCGAATGACACTGTTGACACGATTCAGATGATATAAAGTCTTGCGATACTCCATCTTGCAAGCAAGCAGGCACATCTCCAGCCTCTGTCATTCTTTTGAAAAATACGCCTCGGCAACTAATAATACCTAATCACCATGCTCTTCCCACGTGTTCTTGGCTCTTTCGCAGCCTTCATTTCGCTCGCCAAGGCTGTCGATCTGACCGGCTATGAGTACGTTGTGGTTGGTTCGGGTGCCGGTGGTGGCGTAAGTAAAACACATATGGGCTTAGGTAACATGGTCACTGACTTGTTGTAGCCATTGGCTGCCCGCCTAGCCCTCGCTGGCCACAAGACTCTTCTCATCGAGGCTGGTGACGATCAAGGTGCCAATGCCAACTACACTGTGCCAGCCTTCAGCGCCAGGTCTTCTGAGGACCCTAACCTTAGCTGGAACTTTTATGTCAAACACTACGCCGACGAGACGAGACAGGCTCGCGACTTCAAGACTAGCTATGCAACTCTTGACGGCGGCGAGTACACCGGTCTTAGCCCGCCCGAAGGCTCCACCATGAAGGGCACTCTATACCCCCGTACTGGTACCCTTGGAGGTTGCACAGCTCACAACGCTCTCATTGCCGTCTACCCCCACCAGTCTGACTTTGAGAACATCCAGAATATCACTGGAGATGACACTTGGGCGCCTTCCAACATGCGCAAGTACTTTGAGAAGTTGGAGAAGAACCAGTACCTTATTCCCGGCACGGGAGCCCATGGCTACGAGGGCTGGCTCAACATTGATTACGCACCAATTGACATTGTCACCAACGACCCTAAGCTCCTCAGTCTCGTTAGTGGTGCTGCTTTTGCCCTTGGTAACGCCACCAATGCTATTGTCAACCTTGCCACTCTCATCGCTGGTGACGCCAACGCCGACTCCAAGGAACGCGATGCTGGCCCTGGTCTGTACCAGATCCCCATCTCTACCAACGGTGGCAAGCGTACTGGATCCCGCGAATTCGTCCTGGCCGTTCGCGATGCTAAGAATGCAAACGGCACCAAGATGTACCCTCTCGATGTCAGGCTGAATTGCCATGTCACAAAGGTTCTTTTCGACCAGAATGTCTCCCCTCCCCGCGCTACTGGTGTTGAGTTCCTCGACGGCCAGTACCTCTACAAGGCCAGCCCCAAGTCCTCTGGCGCAACTGGAGTCCCAGGATCCGCAATGGCCTCTCGCGAAGTCATCCTCGCCGGTGGAACCTACAACTCTCCCCAGCTCCTCAAGCTCAGTGGTGTCGGACCTGCCGACGAGCTGAAGAAGTTCAACATCCCCGTCATCGCCGACCGCCCTGGTGTAGGCACCAACCTCCAGGACCACTACGAGATCAATGTTCAGGGCAAAGCCAGCTCCAACTTCTCAGCACTCGACGGCTGCACCTTTGACGGCAGCTCCGCTGACAAATGCATTGACCGCTGGAATTCCCCCATCCTGGGCAACCGCGGCATCTACGCTTCCCCTGGACTTGGCGCCACCATGTTCTACCAGTCGAGCGCAGCCGAAAACAACGACTACGACATCTTCGCGTTTGGCGGCCCTGTCAACTTCCGCGGTTACTTCCCAGGCTATGCCTTCAACGCCACCAGTGAGCACGACTGGTTCACCTGGGCAATCCTCAAGGCGCACCCGCGCAACAACGCCGGAACAGTCACCCTTCGCTCCGCCGATCCTCTCGACATGCCCGACATCACCTACAACTACTTCGACACCGGCGTTGGCGACTACCAAAAGGATCTCACTGCCCTCACCGAAGCCGTAAACCTCGCTCGCGACGCTTTCCGCCGCCAGCTCGTCCCCATCAACGAAGTCCTCCCCGGCTCCGATGTCAACACCCCCGAGAAGATCGCTCAGTACGCCAAGGACACCGCTTGGGGTCACCACGCTTCTTCCACTTGCCCCATTGGCGCCGACGACGACAACATGGCTGTGCTTGACTCCAAGTTCAACGTCCGCGGTGTTGCGGGCCTGAGGGTGGTGGATGCCAGTGTTTTCCCCAGGATTCCGGGTACCTTCACTGCGGTTTCGACCTACATGGTTGCGGAGAAGGCCGCGGATGATATTCTCCAGGGTCTGCAGTAAGGCTTCGGATGTGGTTTTGTTTGTTACATTGCGCCTTGATGATATCCAGTTAACGCTCGGTATGAGCGGAACATGAAATATGAGATTGTAAACTGGACTTTTTTTCTTTGAGTCTTTTGTGACATCTTGATATGTGATGGTGCCTGTGAAGCATACGTCTGCTTCGGTACAATGGGTCGTGCTATTGACTTTTGATGTTGTGTTTGACCAAGAGAGTGTAGTTAACGGGGACGTTGTGAAATCTGACTCGTAACGCCAATGCGCTGGGGGTATACAAACAAGTAGATAAGGTTTGACTTCAATCAAGTTGCATATTGCACGCCTGTTACTGTTCTTATCGGGAGAGCTAGTATGCACATTCACACTTATCTAGTCTGTTTTCTCTCCAACTCTCTCTCATCCATCTACTTCCCCTCCAACGCCTCCCTCCTCCCACGACTCCCCAAATCCAAATACGGCGCCTCTCCCAAACTCGCCACACGATCTCCCGCCCTTGCCTCCACATAATCGTACGTAGCACAGTGCCAGGTACTCCTATTATCCCAGATAGCAAGGTCATTTTTGTTCCACTTGAAGCGTACCTGTGCATCGTGGTTTTGCGTGACGAGGTTGAAGAGGTAAGGGAGGAGGAGATCTGATTCGTCTTTCGTGATGCCATTGATGCGTTTGGTGAAGCCCTTGTTTACGTAGACGGATTTCCAGCCGGTTACCGCTGGGTATGGGGGTTAGTAAATTTCAGAGTGGCGACTTGGATAAGAATGAAAAGGGGGTGTTTGGGATGGAAATGAGACTTACGGTTTGTACGGATGACGGGGTGGACGGCTGTAAGTGCATCACCGTAGTTGAGCGGGTTACCACGGATGCCTTTTCGGAGTGGGTTACCGAGTCTTTCGGCTTCATCGAGGAAGAACTTTGCGTCGTGGGTTGCGGTGAGGCCCTCGAGGAATGTGCGCATGGCGGGGGAGAGGCGGTCGTAGATTTCGTAGCCAGACGCCCAGAGGGTGTCGCCGCCAGTGGCGGGGAGAGTGTGGATCTTGAGCATGGCGTAGTCGGAGGGTACGGGTTCAAAAGTGATGTCACTGTGCCATCCTGCTGATGCGAAGCGGCTTACGTCTGAGAGTTGGTGAGTGAGGCCGCCGCCCTTCTTTTGCTTTTCACTGCTGATGACGGAGATTTGGTCGCCTAGTTCGGAGCCTTCTTCTGTGAGGGGGTGGATGTGGAGGCCAGATGATGAGGGCTATCGGAGGATTAGCCTTGGTGATATAGTGGTGTTGATCTTTTGAGACATACACATCCTGAAAGTTCAGTCAATCGCAACATGAGGTCTCGCATCTGATTAGGAGTGACATCTTGATTGCGCAAGAAAACAACTCCTCGCTGGGAGACTGTGAAGACAAGTCAACTACTGCTTCAGTACAGTCCACGTGCAATGACTGACCAGTGACGGCTAGATCTTTAATCACAGCATCGCTTGCCTGAAGCAAGTCGGTCACTTGTAGGCCTTCAAACTCTCGACCAATGACTGGTGTCAAATCTTGGTACTTGTAGCTGTCCAATGATCCAGAGTACACTAGGGGTTCCAACAGTCTCGACCTGGCAGTGGCGTTTCCGCCAAAGATGCGTGTGCCACTGGCGGGGTATTCATCCTCGGCATTGACACGCTCTACAGAAGGCATCCCGGGCGGCTAAGAGGACAGTGTATTCAGTTGACAAGCAGGATAGAATGCTGGACACAAGGCTATCAAACTGGAAAATGCTCCGGACAAAGATGTACAATGGACTTCAGCACTGCTCGCTTGGAAGTCTGGGGTATATCAATTTCATCCGAGATCCAGGATAGCCCATCTGCAGTACACGTGGTGTAGCACGTCATCGGGTACGCTGCATGTTATGGGACTAGAGCCGACAGCCATGGATGCGGGCGAGTTGCACTACCTTTGAGGGTAATGCCGGGGTATTGGCGAAAGACCAATGAGAAGTGCATGCACGTGCCCAAAGCCGTGCCCTCCCCTCTTTCTCCTCCTTTGTCGGCGCAATTACTGCCTCGGGAGACAAGTCTTAATGGCGACGAGATGGGCTTGGATTGCGCAATAGCAATGGTGACTACATATATAGGGAATGGGCATGAGCAATACATATATTGGTGCATCGATTTCCCGTTCCAGGGCCCACTCTTCTTCTGATTGAGCGTTGTGCTGCGGTTGAACACTGTGGTCCTCTCGAAATGGGTCAAGATATTGAGGCTGCGGCCCCGCATACGACGCGGATTAGCGAAGATTTCAACTCGACCAAATCGCTGGCAAAGGTCGGAAGAGAGGAGCTTGCGGATATCGTTCCTCCTCATGAAAGTTACGAAGGCCGACACCGTTTCGACCCTCACGCGAGCTGGACCATTGAGGAAGAACGCCGACTTGTACGCAAAACAGATATTCGGCTACTCTCATGGCTATGTCTCATGATGTTTGGGCTGCAGGTAAGTTTTTGTGGGGTTGAAGCGGAGCGTGGATACTGATCGGTGTAGCTCGATCGCGGAAACGTATCAAACGCGCTTGCGGACAACCTTTTGGACGATCTCGGCTTAACCAGCGATGATTACAACAACGGTACAACTATTCAACTGCTTTGTTTTCTTACTGCAGAATTTCCAGTCCAATTGTGAGTATTAGAGAGACTACATCTTGACATCTGTCTGATTGATCCTCTGTTAGTCTCACCAAGCGGTATGGCTTCAAATACGTCCTTCCGACCATGATGTTCGCCTGGGGAACCGCTTCTTGGGCTCAGTCATGGATGCACGACCGTACTTCCTTCTATCTCGGCCGAGCGGCTATAGGCCTATGTGAAGGTGGTTTTATCCCTGGAGTTATCTTGTTTGCGACCTACTTCTATACGTCTAAGGAGCTTTCCATACGCCTTGCGGCTTTCTGGTCCACTCTCAACGTCGCCCGTGTCGCTTCTGCTCTCCTTGCGGCCGGAATCCTGGAGATGCGTGGCATAGGAGGGAAGCCAGGATGGTTTTGGCTGTTTCTTCTCGAAGGTCTTTTGACCGTCGTTATCGCCATAATCTCATTCCTGTACTTGCCAGCTGCGCCCACATCTACGAAAAACGTACTGTTTCCGAAGGGCTGGTACAACCAGCGAGAGGAAGTCATTATGGTAAACCGCATTCTCAGAGACGATCCTGCCAAGGGTCTCACAGCCCTCAAGGAACCCGCCACTTTCAAGGATGTCCGCGCGGCCTGGTCTGATTCCTCCATGTGGGGTCTGTACTTCATCGGTCTTATTGCCTATATACCTGCCTCGCCAGTTCAAGGATACCTGACACTTACGCTCAAACGTCTCGGTTTTAGCACATTCGATAGTAACATGCTTACGATTCCGTCTGCTGCGCTCCAGGTCATTACCATGCTGGCACTTGCATATTCGAGCGAATACTTCAACGAACGCACATTCCATTGCGTATTTGGCGAATTCTGGATCATGCCGCTACTCATTGCCCTTTTGACGCTTCCGGACGGTGGACGCGAGTGGGGTCGCTTTTCGTTGATCACACTCGTCTCTGGATATCCGTACTTCCACCCCTTAGTCTCGTCCTGGATATCGGAAAACACATTTGACGTCAAAAAGCGTGCAATTACCGCGGCAACATACAATGTCATTGTCCAGATTGGATCTCTGATCAGCTCGCAGATTTACCGCAAGTACGATGGCCCGTACTACAAGCGAGGAAACTCGGTGCTGGTAGCCATCTGCGCGCTGAGCGTGGTGACATTTCTCGTGCAAAGAGTGGCGTTGACGCGAATGAACAAGAACAAGGAGAAAAAGTGGGACCAAATGACTAGCGAAGAGAAGGCGCTGTATCAGGCGGATCTTACAGCACGTGAGCTTGATGGAAACAAGCGGTTGGACTTTAGATTCACACTGTAGTCCGGATCAAGAAGGTCGACCGGGCCATGTCGAGGAAGGGTTACTGCTTATGTGTGCGGAGTACTGGGCGACACGGCACATAGCTTGGATTCTGTAACTTGGCGATGGGGTCGCCAATGGAGCCGCAACGTTCTCGTCAGCCGAACCGAGGTTTTTGCGAATCGCGGGTGCACGTAGCCGCAGGTCGATATTCGGATTCGAGTATGAACGCCCTGACACGACCGCCTTCAGTTAATCTTTTTTGTCGTATAATTTGGCAACACCTTCCCGTTCATGCTAACAGAATGTATTACATTACGTTTTGTGTTGCAATCTGTTACCCCAAATCTCAAGTTAGTGGATGGCTGATTAGATCTTGGTCAACATCTGGTAATACTGAAAGGTTATCTCAATGGAGACTGTTAGTCCGACCCACTTCTCCAACCGTTCTCCACCTAGCAACATGGCGTTATTGCGGGGATGGATGGCGAAATATCACTACACGTGCCGTTGTCGTCTGGGGGTTGAAAAAATTCAACAACAATGAATGGCGCCGCGATCTCCAAAAGGAGATAGTGTCTCCGATGCAGAAAGCCTCCTGACGGTTTTGGCTGTCGCGAGCGGATTGTCCCATTTTGGTCAAGGTGGCACAGCTTTTTACCATTCAGTCGACTCATCGCTGGAGCAGAGTGATTACACACAGCGGCTTGTTGCTTATGAAGTTTTACATCCTTTCCAAACTCAAGTCGAACTCTATCCAGACATTACACGTGTGCTTTAAACAATTACAAGATGGCGTGGGAAGAACCTCGTAAGACCGGTATGCAATACCGTCGCCTAGGTAACTCTGGGCTGCACGTCTCAGTACTCGGTCTAGGAGGATGGCTCACGTATGTCGTCCAGTGGTTTTTGCACATATGTCAATGCTAACCGATTTGTAGATTTGGTGGCCACGTCGAAAATGGTTTTTGACCCTGTGCTTATGTCAATTGATCACATGACTAACTCCAGCATTAGAACGCACGTTCTCCATCATGAAGACCGCATATGATAACGGCATTAACTTTTTCGACACTGCCGAATCGTATGCCGGAGGTCAATCTGAGATCATCATGGGCCAGGCCATCAAGAAGTTTGGCTGGAACCGTAACGATCTTGTAATTTCCACCAAGCTCAACTGGGGCGGTGCAAATGGAGAAGTCCTCGTAAACAACCACGGTCTTTCACGTAAGCACATTATTGAGGGACTTCGTGCGTCGCTTAAACGTATGGACCTGGAGTACGTTGATATCGTGTATGCGCATCGTCCTGATCGCCTTACGCCCATGGAAGAAACCGTCCGCGCCTTCAACCACGTGATTGAGCAGAAGGGCTGGGCCTTGTACTGGGGCACATCCGAATGGTCTGCAGACGAGATTGCTGAGGCTTGCGGTATTGCGAAACAGCTGGGTCTCATTGCACCAATTGTCGAACAACCACAGTACAATTTGCTTGAGAGGAAAAAGGTCGAGAGCGAATTTCAACGCCTATACTCGCGTTTCGGACTTGGTCTTACTACCTTTTCGCCGCTGAAGTTTGGCCTCTTGAGTGGAAAGTACAACGACAGCCCAGATGCACCTCCAGCAGGCTCAAGATTTGCCGAGGGCAACGATAAGTTCGTTAGTGGAATGCGGGATAGCTATGGAAACAGCGAGTGGAGCAATATGATCAACAGCGCCAAGGCTCTCAAGGTTCGTCTTATAACTGCCATTCTTCGCCGAGTTTCATTGCTGACATTCCATAGCCAGTTGCAGACAGCCTAGGTGTCAGCCAATCGCAGCTGTCGCTCGCGTGGTGCTTGAAGAACCCAAACGTCTCTGCAGTCATTACAGGTGCCTCAAGGCCCGAGCAAGTCGTCGACAACTGCGCGGCTTTGAAGGTCATTGATAAGCTCACGCCAGAAGTGATGGAGAAGATCAACGAGATTGTTGGACACATTAAGCTCGACCCTGCGCGTCAAGATTAGACTGTCTGTTGATGTAGAATAATGACATTCTTGAGAGAAAACTTTGGGGAAATTGCTAAGTAATGTTGAAAAAGATGTGTAGTCAAATATCTCAGGAAAAAATCTGTGAACTCGAAACAGTGCCCAAAAACCAAAACTTCGTACTGATAGTGTGGCTGACGAGTGATACCATCGACAGCTGTCGCTCGTCAGCCACAGGACCGACCCACATCCGACATCTGCCCGCAGCTTGCAACGGAGGCAGTGACCAGCAACGGAGCAGAGCCTGCCCAATAATTGCTTTGGGTGAAGCCACCTCAAGTGGATATGCTCCAGAACTTGACATCCACGAAAATTACCGTCCTTCCCACTCTAGGCCCAGTGCCTTCGCAGCTGATTTCAATTATCCCGTTTGGAAGTCCTTCAGGTCAGGTTCCTAAAATCACCTTAGACATGCTGACATTTACAAAAATTGTTTGGCAGTTAAGGAGATGGCATAGAACCTACCCGATACCATCAGATTACAGAACTCCTCTCCACATACAGCCTGAGAGTTTTGGATAACTTCATGAGTACCATATTCATATTCACATGATGGGCATGTGTCAGCTGATGACTGGACCAATTAAAGAGTCGCACGACATAGCCACTTTTCCCTTTGCTCGTTCAGCTCATGAGTGTGAGATGCGCCAGCTGCGATTGTTGCCAATGACAGTGCGTTATAGGCGAACTTTAAATCAGCCCTGGCTGCAGTCTGCACGAGTCTCGACCCTCACGTTTTCAGCTCATCTATATTGTCTAGTGACAGACATATTTTCCATCGCAGGAAAAAATAACAAAAACTCAGGCTTTCAAGCCGAAGGATATTATTTCAATAATCGCTTCCATCATTCCGTAATCGCGACTGCACAACAGTGTGCATGGATTTTCTTATCTCAGCACTACTAGGTGTTTCCATGTATCTTTTGAGGGAAACATCCAAGCCCTGAAGCTAGGTTTTGTGGCTTTGTTTTTTTCCAGAGCGTGTGGTCAGCTGTGGCTTCGTTGATGCCTCGGTCAGGTGAAGAGGCAGCCAATCAAGTTTCTCCACCGCTTAGATATCAAAGCTGCTGCTGCAATACGAACAGCCCCCGATAATAAAAACTTTGAGTCCTCAGCACTCTGCACCGGCCGCAATCATATCTCGAAACCTTTCCCACCGAGCCATTCGTGACCTTTACCATGGACGTTGAAGCAATCAATAAAAGTCTGCTCAAAGCTGTCGAAGAGGGAGATTTAGCTAAAATTCAAGATATTGTTTTCCGTATTCCAGGGTCAAGAACTGGTCAAGACTGGTCTTTTCTGTCACGAGAGCCGGTGCTGCTCGCCTGTAGCAAAGGAGACGTAGACATTGTGGAGTTCTTACTCAAACATTGTCAGCAGGAGGATTTTACCGATATCTCAAGACGAACCGCATTAATTCATCAAGCAGTTCGGGGAGAAGGAGCGGACCATTGTAACACAGTCAAGCTTCTACTTGGATTTGCTGCTGGCGATGGCGGTGCAGAAACGGTGAAAAAGTATGTCAATATTCAGGATCATGAAGGGAAAACGGCAGTTCACCATGTAGCTGCAGAGGGCGACTATGCGATGCTTGATGTTCTCTTTGAAGCAGGTGTGGAGGTCACTATCAGAGACAAAAGAGGCCTCTTGCCGGCACATATCGCTTGCATAGAAAAGAAATATGAGACGATGAGATGGCTGTTTCAGAAAGACCAAGTGGGGATAGCCGAGATCATGAAAGAAGAGCGGATTGCAGGGACCACTTGTCTTCATCTGGTCTCAAAGAGAAACTGTGGAAAGGCACTTGGCTACCTCCTTGATTTGATCCAGGACGAACAAATCATGTCAAAAGACAGCAATCGCATGTCTGTATGGGAGGTGGCATGTGGGGGAACCAGTCGCTCGTTCTGTCCAAGTTCAGGAAAGACCCCACTAAAAGAGCTGATTCGAAAGCCTTACCTAGTTTCGACGGGATTCCCAACCCCTGAAATGTGCCCAGGGATACCTACAGACAGTAAATTGCCTCCAGAGTTTCCCATTAATCTGGAATCAGCCAGTGTACTCATTTTCAACGAACATAGGGCTCCTCGGAATTGCAGCAAATTCGATTGGAATGAATATTCTTTTCCTGGAATAACTTGCTATTCATTTCCATTGAATCATGTAAGCAGACAAAACCTTTTCATACCGACAAGTACTGATGTAAACTAGTTTAGAGGACTATATGTAGAGCCACCCAGCGATAGGAAATTGGAGTAAACAAGACATTGACAAATACAGGCTTTGTTCGGAAAACTTCTGATTGAAGATCGTATCAAAACTCAGGATATGAAAAGATTCATAGAAGGGTTTCAGTATGAGCAGTATATCCGGAACCGAGATGACACAGGACCTGTAGTCCTAAAGCTTCGAGAGCCTTCCTGTACTGTGACTCATGGCGGAGGTTCAAAGTCCTTCACAATTGCGGTACGACCATCCTATTGCCTTCAGCTAGTATGCTAATTTGGGCAGATGCCTTACTTCAAGGTACTCAAACAAGATCGGGTCTTGAAATGGAGGGATTCGGCGTATGTCAACGCAGGGCTACAGCCTTTTATATCACACCGTTCAAATTGTCCTAGCGGATCGCTCGAATCTCTCAAGGCACCATATTTACCACTAACGCTTGATGAGTACTGCTGCCCTGCGTTGCCAAAATCGATGTTGGATCGTCGGAATCGAGATCAAGTACTTGCCAAGGCTGATAATACAGAATCACTTTCTCCGGAGATTGTTACAGTGTGTCAAGTATGGGTTCTACAATGCGAAGATGGGCTCATAGTTACACATGAACCGGACGTAGAATTTTTTTCTAATCATTCAGAACTAGAATTCCCCTCGTGGGGACACGACTGTCTGACTGGGGACGCTAAGCGGTATATTGGTATCCTGCTGTCTCATTTCGTGGACAATCTTGACCGTCCTTCTGAAACGGGCTCAGGAAACCCCGTTTTTCATACCTTTGAGAATTTCATTGCCTCATGTGCTCTTGTTGTAGATGAGTACAGCAGGGGAGACGATCTGAAGAAACTCGATATTGACAAGGAAAGGAGATTTCTGCACGATATTGATGATATACGAGGAGAACTGGGGATGATCAAACGCGTCATCCTGCAGCAAGAGGAGGTCTGGAAAACATTTGCAAGCAACGCTTGGCCAGAACACTGGTCAAGTGGTGCAGAAGGGCGCATGGTCGTAAAAGACGACGAAGGGAGATCTCTTGAAGAAGAGGAGGAATGGCAGCTTATTCTACGCGCACAGACTCAGTTCGATCGATTTCGACGTCGAATCGCGCAATTGGATGAAGACGCCGCCCGTATGGAGAAATCCATAATGGCCAAACTAGACCTGAAGCAGAAACACGCAAGTCTCCAAGAGTCACATGCAACAGCCGTCATGAGCGCAGCAGTTCTCGGCTTCACGGTTATAACCATAATTTTCACCCCCTTGTCCTTTCTCACTAGCTTGTTTGCTCTTTCAATCGACCGTTTCCAACGAAACCAAGTCGACTTCTACATACCCAATCGTGAGAACGAAGTCGACTTCAGCAATCGAACTCGCGTTTACACGACAAATTACATTGGAAAATGGGCTGGTCAGTACTCCCCACACTTGCTCTCACGATCAAATTAACAAAAACAGCTACCACAGAACTTGCATCTATCGCTGTAGCCCTACTGTCCATGTGGTTCGTTATTGAATACGGCATGGACGTGCCTGTGTTGCGATACAGTGCAACACGGTTGGTGGGCTTGACAAAGCGGATATGGGAATTTAAGTTTGTGACAAAAGTGAGTGGACGGATCAAATCCAAAAGGTTGCGAAGACCGAATGTATCTATACCTGTTTTTGTGCGTAGACAACTTGCGATTAGGCTCAAGAATTTCAGGCGAAGGTGGCAGCGTTGATGATCGTTGCGAAAATACTATCTACATGACGGTTTCGAAGACAATAACTACTTGGAATATTTCTGTATCCTATACCTATCAAAGTGAGCAATCTGAAAATTTTCTCAACAGTTAAAACTGGACAGGCTCGCAAAATCAGATCACCTATCCAGTCCGCACATGGTACATTGTCTCACCGCAACTTCCACTTGGATCGGACCGTGAATATCAACCAAGAGCAAATAACGCAAGCCATCACAATCAGACTCAACCATCCCTCTTGACCAACCTCCCAATACCATCCCTCACACAATGAGCAACTTCCCGCATAAGCTCATCTTCTACAGCACCCTCTGGCCAAGATAAGTTTAGCGTTGCATTCCCGTCGGCACCAGTCACAACACTAAGTGCAAACGCGCTCGCCACCACATTCGGAGACTGACTGAAAACCATCCTACCAACTCTCCACACATTTTCCTCATCCTTTCCGTTTGGCCAAACCCCCACATTGGACAACTCCGCAGTAGGTTTGCGCGGCTTGCCCAGCATGCCAAGGAGAAACTGCGGCATAGAAGAAACGTATTTGAGAAGCGCAACCGGGTTATCAGTTCCAGATTTTGCTAATTCAGCAGCAATGGTGGATTTCACCGCTCTAGATGTTTCCCAGGAGAAGTTTTGCAGGATATCAGTTGCGGAATTGTCGGTCGAAGTGGGTCGATCGTGGAAGAATTCGTATTGTGTGATTGCAGATGTCATTTGTTCCTTTTCGATGTTAAGAAACCTTCTCGCTGATATCGGGCCATCAACTCTTAATCTCTTGCATTCTTCAGCTGGGAGGCTAGCGAAGAGTGAGGCAGCTAAGAGACATTGCAACGTCGCCGTTACACTAGTTTTCTCTTCCCGGCACACTTGAACCAGCTTAGTTGTTATTTCGTTAGATAGTACCACCGTGAGAAATCGTGGCTTCGGAAGTACTGCGATATCTTCTGGGACCGGGCTGCCGGTCCACAATTTTTCAGAGGTGATGGCGTAAACTGGGGCCAGTAGAGTGTTCAGGATGGTCTTGATGAAGAAATACCACGATATCGGCATGGGATGTAGTTCCTCAAATGGCGGTAGTAGTGCTTGATGAGGCGCTTTGACAACCGGATCAACGTTGTCTGCCGTTTGAACAGCGTTCATACCTGCAAGAAAAGTCTCATGGAATAGAAGTGCTGATGTGCCGTCTGCTAATGCGTGATGCCATATCCATGTCGCAGTAAATCTAGATGTATTGGATGACAATGTTGTCACGAGCAAACGCCAAAAAGGTCTGCTTCCCAGGTTTTCCTTGAAGTCGCGGCTGTGCTGTTGTGTCAGCAGTTCGTCAAGCTCGCTGTCGGCCTCTCCATCTCCAGGGAATGGGCTCTTGCGATCGTAAAATTCTATACAATTGCGTAGGTCGATTTCGGGTAACCGTGCGAAGTATACATCGGGATAGGATTGGTCTTCGTTGAGAGCAATGGCGCTTAAAGCCGGGTGCTGAGCAATGACATGGTGCAGCGCAATGTAGACCTGGTTTTCGAGTGGAGTTTCCGAAATGCTTTGGGTTTTGTATTCTGCAGTGAAGCCTACATTTTTGTAAAAGCCCAGGTGGTGTCGTGCTGTACTAAATGTTTCCAGTCTGCCGCATGGGCGTAATTTTTCGAGACTTCCCAGATCCAACATTGCAATTCTCGCGGATATTTCCCCCTAACTGCAGCTTTAGCTGCATATAAACCCATTCAGGGCTTCTTTTGAACAGAAACGCAATCTCGATACCTGTCAGGGCCTCTGCTGCTATTTGTCCAGTCTATGCCAAGACGAAGGGATATCTATTTTGGATTAGCGCTGCTATTGTGTGATGAACATGATAATGTCCCTCAACATAATCCGAACAATAAGATCAAATGGAACAATGAGAAGTTTGAAGCAATAAGAAAAATCATGGGCTGAGACACGTCATACGAATGGAATCAAGGAGGTCTTGCCTTTGGGTACGAGAAAGAGAGGTAGTCTGTTACAACTTCAGCTTCTTCAACGTTAGTAAAATTGCCAATCTTTTCCCCTTAGATTTCCGCGAAAATACGAATTGCACCAACTATCTTACTCTACAACGTTTATCACCAAGTAAAAAGTGTTTGCCTAATGGCATCCTGACCAACTCATGTTGGGATCTTCATCCTATTTAGGCATGGTGCTCAGATACCTGACTCGTATGTATCCACCACTGATCACGTGATGCTGCCTCAAGTGCGAAAAAAATACATAGAAACATACGACAGCGGGGATTCGCCAGTGGTCACCCGCCTGACTACTAGTCCGCCGGTCAAATATTTAACGAACGGAGAACGAACGGGATCCAGTGCTGAAAAGTTGCCTATGGCCGTATGTGCCATGAACTTAAGAATATGGTCATTACTACGAAAGAAGAAAACTGGGGTTTCCCGAGGCAACTAGACACGTGCAATCAGATGTATGGTAATATGATGATTCTGAAACTCAAGTTTTGGAAAAATGATTTTTTACTCAGACTCGAAAATGAGAGCCCCAGTGTGGTCAAGTCCAGAGCTTATCATACAAGAGATGGTCTTCCAGCGTGCGCCTCCCATCCGCCAGTGTTCACCACTGTCCAGAATGATACCAAGGGCTCAGAAAAGTCAGCCGACAACACTACCAGCATACCAACCCCTTTCTGGATTGAATGTATTAAAATTTTCGAATTTGTATCACCACACCGGTCTAAAAGCGGCTGAAATCAAACTTGGCGCAGCAGTGGCGTCTTACGAATGCCAACCTGTGACTATGTAGTCCTTTGCACAATGCCACCATCCACATCCGCATATCCTTCTCCCCACAATCCTCGCAATGCCATGTTTTCGAACCATGATGTGCTCCACATAAAATACTGCTTAAGGTTGGTCAAGTAATAACAAGCCTTTAGCCGAGATGCATGGGCGCTATATTAGCTCCCCAACTGCCGACAGTGAATAGGTGCGCACGAGGTGATAAGGACAATTTATATTTACGCGATCATACTTCATACTGTGGGGCCGGCAGTTGGAAGGTATCAGTCCAAATATGGGGCAGTGTGAATACTAAGCAGAAGACTCGGGGGTCGGGGCCGTATACATTGTCTTTGAAAAGATATGAAGGCCTATACACCAGACGTTCTCGAAAACATATCATCTTCCTTTACCAGTACTCTTCTTTCAGTTAAACTTTATACGTCATAATGCGTTTCACGCCATTCTTTTTCGTGGCCCTTGCAGGTGCCATGCCACAGTTTGGCAACAACCAGCGCTTCACCATGCTGCGATTTGGCTGCGCTCAAAGTGTCATTGATCGTATTGATCCTCTCGTGAACCCAGGCCTTGCACCATCACCACATATGCATCAGATTGCAGGTGGTAACGCGTTCAATACCACGATGCCAAGCACAGATATTTCTAAACTGGCCAGCTGTACTACGTGCGGATACAGTGAGGATGTACGTTTCTGTCTTGTAGATACAAATATGCTAAAGTGAAAGAGACGAAGGAATGCAATAGAGCTGACGATATATAGTTGAGTAATTACTGGACAGCGAATGTCTATTTCAAAGCGAGAAACGGGACGTACAAACGTGTGCCGCAGGTGCCAAACCGGTTTGTATATACGACCTCAATCTTCCTCAGGCAAATGAACTAATGAGACTCAGCGACCTCTTCAATGACAAGTACACTGGCAAGACCACCGGTGGTTTCGTAGTATACTACGTTTCTGGTAGCAAAGGCGATGTCACAGCGTTCAAGCCGGTAAGCAATAACCCTAAATCCCCCGCATCACCTAGGAATAGCCAGTAGGTATCTAAACGATCCATATAGGGATTCCGCATGCTTGTCGGCGATGCAGCCAACCGCGTGTCCAAGAACCGAAAGTCCCAGACTTGCTTCCGATGCTACACCGGACCCAATTTCGGCGGTGACAACGCTGCACCGTGCCAGGATGCCAAGTGGGTAACTCGTTCATATTTCTCTATCACCTTTGTACTGACGCCTCGTAGACTGGACACAGAAGGGTTCCCCACTACACCCTGTCCAGGCGGTATCCGAAGTAACATTCTTTACCCCACGTAAGTGAATCACTGCTACTGTCAGATCATTGCTCATGCAACACAGGTGCTGGGATGGCGTCAATCTCGACTCACCGGATCACAAGTCACACGTCGCATACCCCACCAACGGACCAGCCTTATTCACCGGTACCAGCACCGGCGGAGCTTGTCCTGCCAGCCACCCTATTAGAATCCCACAACTCATGCTCGAGGTACTATTTCCCCACATCTCCCTTGTTCCGTACATGAACTAACTGCGCAAAGATCGTCTGGGACACAACCAAATTCAACAACAAAGCCGACTGGCCCGCCGACGGCTCTCAACCCTTCGTCCTCAGCACGGGTGACAACACAGGATACGGGCAGCACGGCGACTATGTTTTCGGATGGAAAGACGATTCGCTTCAGAAGGCTATGGACGATGCAAAGGGCTGCATGGGAGCAAACTGCGGGAGCCTGAAGACGCAGCAGCCGGCTGATGGGAATAAGTGCGTTGTTCCAAATCGGGTTCCCGAAGAACGAGATGGGTGGATGACGTCACTGCCGGGTATGGAAGGTATGCCTATGGAGTAAGTTACTCTCTTCCTGTGATGGCTGTTGGAATGGGGTGTAGGCCGTTGGATGTTCTTGGTATCTCGTAATGCTATCTTAGTTGTAGTTCTCTTACCTAGAATTTATGTGACTGTTCTCAAGAAAAATACATCGTTTTTCTGGTGCTGTATACATCTAACAGTCGTATCCAATTTGCCACATGTAAGTAGAGCTGTATATCACGATTGGCTTTCATCAGTGGAATCATTATCCGGCTAGAAACTCAGTCAAGTTCACTATCAATGGTCTGCCATTGCTCTAAGCTCCTATCTAGTTCTCTCACTTGCCACTGTTTGGCGGCATTCCTTCACCGAGGGTGAGTGTCAAGCCTTTCTGGCCGCAATCAGCAAACGCGCTCAAAGAAAAATACTAGTGAGACGCACAGACTCTATCTACTCTCACCTGAGAACTAACAAGTTCAACAAACTTGCCTTTAAGGCTATCCTTATGCATTTACACCAGAGGCAATATGAGCGATAACACCAAGGCCACTGGTCTGCTGAGCGATCTGCAAAAGCTCGACGAAGCGGGACGCGACCGCATACTAGATTTCTTGTCTCCTGAAATTGTAAAGGATATTCTCAAAGTCTTCCTTCGTCAGCACGACAGAGGAGAAGGAGAGTCAGGTGCAATTGCACCTGAGACTCTTACTAAATTATCAAAACCAGAGAACATTGTTCCACCAAATCCCCCTGCAACCGAAAACATCAGTGGAGCGATCTGTGAGCAAGAAGTAAGACCGACAAAACAAGCCAGAAAAATCATTACTCTTCGATACCGAAAGGGAGCTCGCATTGAGAAAAAACATCCACAAGGTCGAGTGGCTACGGAAAAACAAGTCATTGAAATCGAGTCCGACGAAGAGAATGACAGAAACCTCGAGAACTCCCTGGATGCACGACGGCCATCACATGTCCAGCGAGAGCCCCTGATCACCGATAGCAAGGGTATTGTAGTTAAAGGACTACGACCAAAAAATCTTCGGGTTCATCTCTACGTCAGTGAGGAAGCCTCATTGACTCGGCTTCCTGTGAATATCCAAGCCGACCTGATGCGCCGTTTCAAAGACATGTGGTCGATGAATGAACATACGATTACCCAGTACACCGCCTATACCCACAACTTGAAAGATCATGTATGTAGCCCTGTATGCATTCGCAGCATGCTTCTCGCAAAGATCCCGACTTTCACTCGAGGCGGAAAACTGCACAAGTCCGCAGATGATAGTTGTATCGATACTGGCTATCCTTGTGCCGATTTTAGGTGGCACAAATATGAAAAGAATTTTGTCGTACGTTTTCTGCCTCTGCCTCAGGCCTTGCGCGTGGGAAAGCATCCAGAAGATCTCGGGTATTGGGTTCTTTGAAAGCCAAACACTGGGATGACTGCGAATCATTAGTCGAACTCAGAATCGAGAGCACATTGGCATTCTTGGTTGAATTGCACCTACTGTAGCTGGAAGCGGGAAAACAAAAGACCCTACAAGATGCAAAATAGGTCCGAAGAGAATCTGTATGATAGTGGAAACACACTCACATGTTCCTCAAGCAGTGCAAGATTGAGGTGGCTGGTAATTCTCCATCGTCGCGTCCGACATAATGTACCCCGCCTTCATGGCTAGACACTTTCTTCATAAAAGTCGTTTAGTGAATTTGTCCCTCACGAGAGCATCGCAACTCAGGTCCCGCCCACAGCAACCCACTCGCCACTCCAGATGCCATCTGTCTTGCAACCCGGACAGCTCGTGTGATCACATCCCGTTGGCTTAGTAAAATCGTATTCTTCCCATGTGATAGTTTCCCGCGCACCTTCATCTATCATGATAGTATCCTCCTTGATATCCGTCTGTGAGCTAGGTATGGTAGCAGGAGTAGCAGTAGCGGCAACAACAGGTTCTTGAATCTTGGCCTCAGTCTTGGTCCCTTCCTCGTCCTTCTTTACTTCAACAGCTTCAGGTCCAGCCTCCTTCTCCTTTCCTCCCACCGCGACCCCCACTTTCTTGAACCTGCTCCCCGCCGCTGCTGCCCCGCCACTACCACCAATCTTGGTGAACCGACTTCCGACACCAGGCTTCTTGTTCGCATTTTCAACATCTATACTGCGCATATCCAGGCCTTGTTTAGGTTTCGTGCTGCTCTCGCCTTCGTTGGAAGCAGTTAGCTTCTTCATGTCTGCAAGGCGCTGGCGGTGGTTGTGATCATAAGAGCGGAGGTGGTTTTCATAATCGAGTTGGCGGGGGTATCCTTTGTCGCATATTGTGCAATTGAAGAGGCGCACAGCGGCAGGGAGAGGGTTGTTTCGCTGGTGAAGCATGTTAGTACACATGTTTGCCTAGTAGAAAAGATGCAGGTAGGGTATGCATGACGTACTGGAGGCATTTTGATTTTTTTGGAAATCCCGCGATGAATATGTAAATGTGGAGAAAGACACAGCACTTCGTCTTTCAATGCAATGGTGGGTTCAATACGCGTCAAGTGCGTCTCACGAACGCGTAAAGTTGTAGGAACATTTAGTGTTGCGGCGCACCGCCTCGGTCCACACCAACTGGCACAGACCCACACCGACAGACCCACGCACGAATCAACGTCATCCCAAGTCTCAGCCAGCAAAGCAATTCCCCATCTTAGCGCATTTCCCCATACTTGATAAATCCCCGTTTCTCCCACTTGTCTTGCACGACTGAATTCACGAAAAAAAAACATGGAGGTCAATACTGACCTGCCGTTCGACGACGACGGCAGCGTCATAAATCTGACCGAAGTCGATCCCTCGCCCGTCGACACACCGCCCGAATACCTAGAAAAGAGCTATTTCCCGGACCAAGAGCGGCCCGAGGGGGGCGAGACAGAGGAAATGAGGGGGATCAGGCGGATGAACACTCTAGGACTGAGGTTAGGCGAAAGAGGACCTGCATGGTGGCGTAAGTTGTCGCAATTGTCCTTCTACAATGGATTCGCTTACTGAAATACCCTCACGACATAGTCCTTCGCATTCAAAAGTATTCGTCGTACACATTCACCGCATTTGCCGCCCTGCACATTACAAACGTATCCATAATACCATTGGCTACCCGCTCCGTCGTCGAAAGTAACCGCTACCTTCTTCTCACCCGTCCCTATTACCAGTCTGCTCTCACAGAACCCCTACTCGTTGCTCTCCCATTGGCCACACACATTACGTCTGGTATTGCGCTGCGATTTTGGAGGAGAAGGCAAGCCCTACTGCGATATGGCGCTGAGACACGAAGGGAAAAGCGCACCATTCCCTGGCCGGTGCTCAGTGGGACGAGTGCTTTGGGGTATGCGTTAGTACCCCTAGCTGGCTTTCACATCTGGACAACGAGAATATTACCGTTGTATGCACACGGTGATTCGTCGCTGATCAGTCTAAATTACATCTCACACGGCTTTGCGCTGCATCCTAAGGTTTCCTTTGCCGGCTTTACAGCCCTTGTGAGCGTCGGTGCATGGCATTTTGTCTGGGGTGCTGCCAAGTGGTTGGGTTTTGCACCAAGCCAAGTCAAGAACACAGAAGAGAACAGAGCGTTGGTTAGGAAGATGAGATGGTACTCCATCAACGGAATCAGTGCTGCTCTGACCTTGCTTTGGCTGGGTGGCAGTCTTGGCGTTGTCGGCCTAGAGGGAACGATGCCGGGATGGGTGGGCAAAGAGTACGACGAATTGTACAAATACCTGCCAATCATTGGGAAACGATAAAACAGAAAAAAATAGAAAAGAAGAAAAGAGGGTAGCGCGCGTATTGCATTGTACTATACCCCTCCTCATAGCGAGTGTGCACTGCATAGCGTTTAGCACTAAATAGTCACTGTATGGAATGCTGTTTAGGCGCTGCGCAAAGCATTTTTTATATCGCCGTCATGATCTATGGTTATCCTATGCCCCTTCGTAGATGCAACTTGCATACTTGACACCTACTAACTTCAGAAAACCCCATGAGTTCCAATTCATTTTGCAGTAGTGCCATAGTGTCTGATCATTATCCCAGTATACGAGCAAATCGAAATTCAATCTTACGGCCATTCAGTACATTCATCACTGCATGTAACACTGCCGAAGAATAGAATGCCACTACATTAGCTGCAACAGAAGCCCTTCAACTTACGAAAACACATGTTTGTTACTGTTACAATATACTGAGAGAAAAACAGGCAACGATTAATTGGCTGCTTCCTTGGCCAAACTTCTTCCAGTTCTGTTCGGGGGATGATAGGGCTACTTCATATTGACTTTCTGCAGCATCTCATACAACGAAAACTGAAGATCCTGCATCTACGACAGACTTTAGCATGCTGGAAAGGTACACAGGCGCAAATTGAGTATGATTAACCCCTCCTGATAACCAAATCTTTAAGCTTCACTCACCCAGACTAAACACTAGAACAGGGCAAGAAACATCGTGGATGTATTTTGGACTACCTGCAGAGCTTGTGAGAGTATCCTATGTATAGTACTATTTTAGGTGGTCCATGCCAGGGCGCTTTATGTGTGGTGAAGAGTGTTTAGTGAATGGGACAGCTCCTACCGTCTGATGTTGGGCGTTTGTTTACACAGCAACGTCACTGTTGCATTCACCGACCAGCTGCTCCATTCCTTCCACATTTACACCTCCACTGAACAACAGCATCGACAGCATCTGGTCAGAGGCAAGTTTTTCTTATCAGTACATGCCTCGCACCCCGCTGCAGCCATGCTAACATATCCAGATAGACAGAGATTTGAACAAATACGAGCTTTGTGGGAAACGGCGCGGTCGGATGAAGAAAATATAGCAGATATGGTAAGCTGGAGGGACAAATCAGCGCCTCAGCAGCCTATGGGCGCAGACCTGCATGAGAACGGCGCCCGAAAGTTTCGGAGAAAGCTCAGCTACGGCCTCTCTCTCATATCGAATCCTCTCTCTCAACGGAAGATCACCCCGGGCCGCAATAAAGTTGAGATCAATTCATTGGCTGTCACTGAGCCACCCACAACTGACGCCATCACTACTGCCTCTGCATGCGATCCCCCGACTTTACTAGCGCGCGAATCGACGTCTCTCATAAACTTTCATGACTTGACAAAAGGTCTAGTAGGGCAAACGGATGTCGATACCTCACTCCAGAGTGACGATGCTGATATCACCCCCAAGCCACTTCCTCGCTCGCGCACGTTGGGCTTCATCCCGCTCTCCGTCAGCACTGAGCCTGATACACTAGAGCCAGATATCAACGAATCCGTCAAGTTCTGCTCTCCGGGAGTGATTCCTGTATCTGAGCTAAATTCAGTGCCTTCAAAGATTCCTTCACCAAGTCCTCCGTTGTTTGAACATCGTTGCGCTAGTCCACGTCGATATCTTCATCACCATCCATCCTTCAGTGCATCACAACAAACCAAATACATTGCTGCAGCACAAGCATTTGTTAGCCCCAAAAAACGTTCACCTGCAAGAATTTCACAGCCATTACGGTCACGCACAACACCAAACCTTGTGAAGGGATCGAACGCGCGACAGACTGCAGGGTTTATGGTTCCTAGGCAACCAGGACCTAAGAAACCCAATGTATCCCAAAGATCCGAGAAGCCAGTATTACAGGAGAACATTCCTATCGAAAAGCGCATCAACAATAGGCAGCCGCAGATACAAGAGAGTATGCTGAAGCGTGAATCTCTTGCGGTTGCCGGAGCAATATACGACAGGAGGTCATTTGGACCAAGCACTCCAAATATGCAGGGCAGAAGAACAAGCTTCGCAACTCCACCAACTGCAAGCAAACAGGGGCGCTCCTATCTTACTGAAAACACTCCAGCCACTGCAAAGAGAATCCAGCGTGAGGAGCAGACTGTACTGCCGCCACTGCGCCTTACTATGAAGCCTGACCTAGCTTCAATGCCTTCACTTCCAGACACTTCGACAAAGAAAACGTCACATAGGCCTCGTTCCTCAAAGGCAGATTTGCTACGATCCTACACGCAAGCAGATTTGTCGAGGAAAACACTAGGTACGCCGAATGGTTTGGGTGGTGTTTGGCGACTATCTCGTGCGCTTGCTATGGTAAATCACGAGGTGAGCAAACTTCCGCGCTCCAATACCTTCCATTATCTTGGATCTCAGCCAGAAGCTGCCCCGCCAGTGCCTCTTCTGTCACTGCACCACGGAAAGTCATCCCTGTCAGAGACAACACAGAATTTACGTATGAGTCAAGACACGCTCTTCACGCCTCATGACGGAAGAATAGTATCCGATACTATCTCATGTCAGTCAATACCCGAAGAGAATGGTGAAGAGGTGTCAAGTCAGGGCTGCACAAATACGCAACTTGAGGCTACAAGAGCCTCTGCTCTATCAGAGACGCCCAGTACATCAACCTTCAGTCTTACAATATTTCCCTCATTACCAGATAGGCCTCAGCCTCCAGTCTTGGGAACACACCCTGTACCAGGCGCAACAACAAGATCATCACAGGAAGTTTTACGCGAGACTTTAGGATCTGTTCAGGGGGAAGAGACGCCAGAAGATGCTGACAATAGTGTTTTCCAGGTCAAAGATTACATGCCACCGCTGTATTGGGCTGGAAGATTTCAATCTCGGTATGACCAGTGGCGTACTGACGCCATGAATGCGGAGTTGAATACTCAGCCGGGCCAGCGAGGAAAGGACCCATTGAGCGAATACAGGCTTGACCAGGGAAACCTTGCCGCATGCCATATCCTTGCGCAGCTGCGTGCTCTATGTACTACTGACCAAGCAGCAGACAGTCTTTGGGTATGTGATGTTTCTTGTTTCTCCCACCATCTACTGATTGACTGATTGTAGGAGTTCGAGTACAATTATCGAAAGGATCACAGGCTGCTTGGCAATCCAGCCGATCTCCCAAGAAGAGCTACACCCAAGCAAAGCGATAGTGAAACTCTTCCCGAGACTGGAGCCGGTACTTTTGAACGAGCTTTCAGAAAACTGACCCCTCGCAAGAGTAGCCTTGTCAATCTCATGAAGGGCAAAGGATGGAACAAATCGGACGAGACGAAGGAAAATGATACTTTGGAGGAGGACCGAGAGACATCTACGGGGAAGTCTTAGACCTCTGTACATGCCGACTAGCGTATTAAGAGTGATATGGACTGTCGGCTTTCAATGATTGAATGGGCCATTCATTGAGAAACAGTATCTACAAAAAGTTACAGTGGGCAAGGTGGTGTGGTGCAGCCAAGAGTATTGAAAACATTGCTTGTGGAGTTCTGCAGTGAGGCGGTAATGTAACTTTAGGGGATGGTAAGCCCGGAACTTAATGATTACGTAGGAAGGGCATATCAATAACGTATGGCCAGACGAAATGTAATCTTAATAATTCACAGAAGTGCTGCAATGACTATTCCTTCTTCTCACTCGGCTTGGGTGATAGCTCTTCAACGATGTTGTTTGGATCTTTCCACGCCAGGGCAACATACTTGGTATGGCTTCCTCGAGCAAAGATCTCTCCTTTGCTATTGCTGAAGTTGATTGATGTAAAGGCCAATGTTTTGCCGACTTTTATCTCTGTTAGCAAGAAGGGTTTGATGATCACCCGAGATATAGATACATACATTTGTCACACGATACTTCGGCCTTGATCAAATCTCCGACCTTGCCGCCCGAGGAGAGGTAGGTCACATTCAGGTCAGTGGAGACGCCGGTTGCGAAGAGACCGCGAGATGCTACGGCTAGAGAGCCCCCAAGATCGACTGCGAGGTATTAGAATAGATGAAATCGAGCTGGAACTAATCAAAATGACCCATGCTGGCGATTGTTCCTCCATGGAGAATGCTCAATCGGTTCTGGGTGTTGCAGATTAGCGGTTAATAAGCTTCGGTAATACTGTATATGAAGTTTCCATGAGACTTCAAGGGAGAATACTCACTGTGTGCTCCTTCTTTATGTCCAGCTCAAACTTGACGCGTCCCGGGACTGCCGACGTCACTCGAAGCTGATGAATCAATTGGTAATGAGCCTTGTTCATTCATTCAAATCGAATCTCAGAGTAAACTTACACCGTCCAGAAGCCTTTGAAATAGTTAGGTCGATGCTATCGGTATACTATCCAATCGTGGGGGTGTACCTTGGCTCCAGGCCCGAGTTGGCTCGGAATGATTCCCAGACCTACTGTATTGGTCAATGGGCATGATTTTAGCATTTCCCATTGCCTATATCACTCACAGATCGTACAAACTTCAGCGCCGTCATGGTCACGGTCTCGGTTCTTTGTGTGCGAAGAGTGATGTAGTTGGGTCCCGCTCGGCAGTTGGCTAGTTATCTCGGAAGCTAGACAGGGGTGGAGCGGAATTGTGGGGGAGCATCTTTCCGCTCACTGGACGCGCGCGTCACCTTACTTTCTTTGAACGACCAGTGACTTTCGACTTTCGACTCAAACAGGCTGCAGCCCGCGCAACGCAACGCGTCTTGCCCGCCTCTCTCTCTCCTGCTCATTGCAGTATCCGAACATGATAATACGGCGGTAAAACAACGTTAATTCTCCACCACATCCACCAAGATGTCGGCCTCGTCTTCTGCTCAGGCGCTGGAATACCTCGAGGGTCTCCCGCTGGCTACACACAAGAAGCTGTATGAGCAGCCTTCGACAGTTCTGGCGGTATTCCGCTGCATGTTACCGCATCTTGGTAAGCAAAGGCAAACCGAATAGTGCTTGCAGAGCTAATAAGAGCCTCAGCCAAGTCAATAGTCATGGCTATGCTCTACATGCCCACTCCCTTCCCCGCTGCCGACCTCGATACCTGGTTCAAACCCACTGCGCGCAAAGAGAAAGAGAGGGCGACCTTTACCCTCGACCGTCTGCATATCATTACCTCGGCACGACAGGACAACGGTACTCTATCGTGGACACTCAATCCAGGCTTCCAACGCAGCCTCCGAAACGCCATCGAGGGCTCTGGCACGCATCGCTCTTTTGGAGTACCGGCGACAAAGGAAGAGAGTGGAAATCGTGTTAGTATTGAGTTCTTGGACGAGTATTCGAGGTCTCAATGGGAGGGCATATTGTACTACCTCGTAAGCGGTGCGGCTGGTCTCAGCAAAGACAGCATCTCTAGAGCTGAGGTTGGTCCTGGCACCAAGAAGCTATTACATACTGGTGATCTAGTGCGCACAATACATGGTAGTCCAAGGATCACAAAAGATGGCTTCTCTTTCGTGCTACAAGAGACGAATGCGCAGGTTTGGAGTCTGCTGATTGTTTATTTGAAGATGACGAACGAGGTAAGCATGAAATATAGATCTTATCTGATTTCATTTAACACTATTACAGCTCGGCATGTCCGAAACCGAAGTTCTCTCATTCCTCTTCATGCTTGGCTCTCTTGAATTGGGCCAAGATTACTCCACTTCCACCCTCTCAGCGACCCAACTCCAAATGCTCGAGGACCTCTCTGCAATGGGTCTTGTATATCGCTCAGACAGAAATGCGCGAACCTTCTACCCCACCCGGTTAGCGACGACGCTCACATCAGACTCTGGCAGTGCCATGTCAACTTCCTCCAACGATATTGCACAAGCAAGCACAAGCACCACCGGACCTCCAACCGCAGCAAACAAGGGCTTCATAATCATCGAAACCAACTACCGCCTATATGCCTACACTAACAGTCTGATTCAAATCGCCATTCTCTCTCTCTTCACCAAACTCCAACACCGCTTCCCCAACCTCGTCTCGGGAAAACTAACAAAGGAGTCCGTGCACAAAGCCGTCCAGGCAGGCATTACTTCAGCACAAATCATCTCCTACCTAACCACCTATGCCCACCCGCAGATGCAAAAAACCGTCCCCTACATCCCGCCAACCGTCATGGATCAGATCCGTCTCTGGGAATACGAGGGCGAGCGCGTGGAAACGACAACGGGCTACTTGATGCGCGAGTTTGGTTCAGACGCAGAGTATAGAGATGTTTTGAACTATGCTAGTGCACTGGGTGTGCTCGTTTGGCAAAATGATGCTAATAGGTGCTTTTTCGTCAGCCATGTCGAACAGATCAGTGCGTATTTGAGGAAGAAGAAAGAGAATAGAGAGAATGCGAGGGGCCGATAAGAGAATGGAAAAATATGTACGGAGTTCGTATCGTTGGCTTTCTGTATTGATGATCTCATTGACATCAAGGCGTTCTCTTATGCACAAATGGGGGAAATAAGTGACTATTAGCACAAGTGATAGACAACATTTGAATTTATGATCTTGGTATCGCTCTTTTCTCAAACATTCCCAATCTCACATCTATAGTCCCTTTTGATAAAAAATATAAAGGAAAAGAAGATTTCAATAGGAAAAAAAAGGATTATTACGCCATGCAGATGCAAAGAACATATCGGTTCTCCAAGTTCGTACATTTTCTTGTGAATTGAGGGAAAAAAAACACGGAATCATCTCGACCCCACAAAATGCAACGCGATAAAACTACACACCTCTCCCTCTTGGATAAAATCTTGTTATTCCTCATCATCTTCGCCCTCGAAATCCTCCGCAGCTTCTGTAGGAATAAGCACGTTCTCAGGCCTATCATCGTCTTCTTCGTCATCCACAGCATGGCTTGCACCATTCACGCCCGCCTCACCCATCTGCACCTCCGGTGCTGTACTAGGCATGACGCCACCATTCGCCTTAATAGCCTCGACCTTTGCTTTCGTCATTTCATACACGTACTTACCCAGGTGCTCCACATCCTGCATCTGGGCCTCACCAGGGATGGTAGTAGCGGCAGAGTCAACGGGACGCTGCGTCTCGCCGAACATTTCGTCGGTGACGAGTTCGAGTTTGTCGGGCCGCTGGAGGAGGATGTCGAAGGCGGGTTTGAGTTCGAAGACGGATTCGAAGACGGAGCGGCGGCCGAGGATGTAGAGGCCTAGGCGGGCGCGGGAGAGCGCGACGGTCAGGCGGCGGATCGAGCGGAGGTAGCCTATTGAGCGGGTGCGGACAAGGGAGAGGATGATGTCTGTTTCGAAGAGCACATATGTTAGGAATGGTCTTGGAAAGTTTAGAGAAAAGGGAGGTAAAAACTTACAGTCGTTTTGCTCGCCCTGGTATTTGTCCACCGTAGCTACTATCCTTGGGCGCCCGAACAGTGGATTGTTCTTACACTTGTGACCTAGGACATCGTTGATCAAGCTCTTCTGGCCAGCATATGTGGTGAGAATCGATATCTTGTTTGCGGGGTACCCAAGCAATCGCATGTACATGTACAAAGCGACCGCATACTCGGCTTCGCCCAAGTTGATCATCCAGTGCGGTGTAGGCTGCTCTTCTCCTTTACCCTTGTAGTCTTGCACATCGATGAATTGGTATTCGTGCTTGAAGCCTGGGTTTGCGATTTGGAACTCAGGATTGGAGACGACAGAAGGCAAATTAGAGAGCGAAGGATAACGCCATCTGTAGAGCTCGGCGATGGATGCGCGAGCACGACCTTGTTGGTCGAGCATGATGGTTGGTACGCCCAAGCGGACAAGCCGTTGGAAAAGCGACTGTTCCAGGTTGGCGTATTGACGGAATGCGAGATTTTGGATGACGGGGGAGTTTTGGAGATGATCACCACAGAGGACTATACGTTGCAATGGAAGTTCACCATTCTTTGGGTTTTGCAATGCGAGTGGGATGAAGTTCTCAATCTCAGTGATTTGGGCAGCTTCTTCCATGATGACGTTGTCGTAGTGGAACCCTAGCGATGCGATTTCTTGTCTCCGCATGGCAGCGTGTGTCGATGTCATTGCAATGATGCGAGCTTCCTTGACAAGCAGGTAGTTTGCCTTGTCCCGAGGATTCCGCAGAAGCTCAAACGGACGAATGTCCTCGAGCTCTGCAAAGATCTTCTGGACATGGCGATAGCAACCTTGCGCAATATCAAGAATCTGTTGACGGTCTACTGCAGGAGGGAAGAGAGGCTGTGGTGCATTTGAGAAATAATCTTTGAATGGAAACTCAGTGATTATCTGCTCAACACTCGTTTCTCCTGATGTGACATTATCCCAGTACTGCGTCCACGCTGGTTTCACATAGACAAGATTGAAGTAATCTGCAGTCTCGCATGAGCTACCGTGGGCACCCGGTGCACCGAAGTTTTTAGCGAGACGGTCAACTTCGGATAGATAGTACTGTCCTCTCTCAAGGAACGACTCCACTCGTCCGTGCTTGCTGTAGCTTGCATCCGTCTCGAGATCCTCTTCACCATGACCCAACCGCAATAGGTGACGCTCGTCGATATCAAGCGCCACAATCTTCTGGAACAGCTGATTAAGCGCCTGGTTGCTGTGTGCAACCAGCAAGGTCCGCTGGTCCGGGAAGTTGTGATATATATTGGATATAATCTGGGTCGCAACGTCCGTCTTGCCGGTGCCTGGTGGTCCGAGCACCACTGTTAGTCCCGGCTGAGTTCCCGAAGTGATGGCATCAACTTGGGCAGGTGTGAATCGGACTTTGTTCAGCTTTGGCGCATCTGCAGGATATGGACCCATATTTGGTGGCTTGTACGAGGATACGCGAACCGATTCCTGCACAGGTTGTGCAACCTCAGCCTGGTCCCGGCGCCGCTTTTTCGACGCCCGTGGTGGTGCAACCTCTGGTTCCACTGCAACAGGGAACTCTAAGAGGTATGGAGGCTCGATAGGTGCATGCGCTTCCTCATTGGGCTCAACGGATTTTCCGGGAAATGACTGAATCAGATGCTCCCAGTCCAAAAAGGTATCGCGGAAGTCAATCTTATTTAGCCGATTAGGGAGTCGCTTGTAGGTTGCAGATGCAGGATCCCCATAGCCCAAAAAGACCTCCTGCAGCCAAGATGGTGCTGGGATATCCGAGAGAGTCAGGCGCTTGATGGACTCTAGGATCGGCAAAAAGTTGTTCTCGCGTCCTTTTCGGCGAACAATGAGATTGATTTGCTCGTAGAAGTTGGGCGCTCCTTTGGCGGTTTGGTCCATGTCGGCATGGTACTGCTTCGCGTCGATATTGACAAGGAGCCGTCGTTGCCGTGCCCTTGATCCAAAGCCATCGTCACGGGCTTGTTCTCTTAGAGGTCGTCCCTTGTCATCCAGAACTTGAACCACCTGGGCACATCTCATTCGACGCAGACCAATCTCTTCTCCACTGCTGACATCCCCATGGTTACCATTTCGCATGGGTACGTCGTCTTTTCCCTCAACTGCAAGGAGAAAGACTACATCATCTGGCCGGAGCTGTTCCCAGTCCCGCCGTACTGGATATTGAAGCCGACTGACATCAAGTATGATCTCTGCTCGAACGTAGGCGGGGTGTTCTTCTCCGACTCTGGATGGCGCCACATCAACAATAGCAGGCTTCATGATGGGTAGTGACATTTTTGATACACCGGTAAACTTGGTGTTGACACCTCTGCCTTTTGGTTTGACGCGTTTTACGACGTCCTCCATGTCTTTGCGAATACCGTAGAATGACTCAGCCCTATACAAGACGAATGATCTCCACAAGAAGTCGCCCATGGTCAGGTACTGTAGGTTCAGCTTTGGAATGGCAAGCGGTCGTGAGCCATCGTAGGATTCGTTTCGCAAAAATGTAGTTTCGTAGAGAATCTTTTCTGTTGGCAGTACTGGCATATCGCGGACTGTGTCTTTGAAAGTTGGGCGTTGCTCAACGAGCATGATTAGGGTCTCCATGTAGAAAGCACGATCCCGCACCAAGTACGTCGTGGCAGGATACTCTGTTCGTAGACCCATGAGCAAGCAAAGTTCAACAAGCTCTTCGTCACTCAATGTGCGCAGGTGGCCATCCAGCTCTTCCCTGTTTCCAATGCTCTTGTAGTTTGCTAATGCCATTAGTTGGAGTTTTTCTTGAAATGCAGCGTAGCCCGTTCGTTGCAACTTGGACAGAAGGTCATAATGCTGTTGGTCATACTCGAGTTTCGACAATTGTCTGCCAGTCTGGTCCTCGATGGAGAAGTTGGTGAAGTGGCTGAGCAGGTCAAACAGATCGCGGAACAGGCCGTTGTCTTCGTCGGCGTACATGGGCGACAATCGAATAGCCGAGAGCATGTTGAGGTCCTTGAGTAGAGTGTTGACATATCTCCTTGTAGGCAGCTGACTCTGCAGGTCTATTAGCAGCTCCATGAAGCGCTCGCAGTAGGCCATGTTGTCCCTCATATCTTGACTGTTACTACTGTTGTATAGCCGGTCTATGAAGTCCAAAAGGAGCGTGTAAAGCCACGAGCGCTCGAAACGCAGGCGGGCCTGCAGTGCATCGTCTCCAGCATCGAAGCGCTTCGATGCAGCCCTCCAAGCCTTGCGCAGCATGCTGTGCTGCTCAAAATACTGCTCGCGCACAGCATCAGAATGCAGGTTCTGCCATATGGATATGCCAACCAGAGGGGCGCACTCTTTTCGCACCAGGCCGCTGTCGAGTGATTGGAAGGCGCCGATGACAAAAGATATGAGCTGTGTGCGGATCTTGCTGGGCTGCGAGGGGTCGACGGTCATGGACAAGATGCGACGGAAGAAGGATGAGAATTCGGCAGGCTTGGTTGAGAAGTGTTCTGTTCAGTGTCAGCGCAGTCCCTTTAGTAGCCAACAGCAACGGCGCAACGTACCCCAAGACGACAGGTTCTCCCTCCTCTTAACATTGACCATGAGGGCCAGTAGCAAATGGTGGTAGTTTGATGCATCCTCTGTATATCCAGGCCATAAATAGCGCTCCAACAACTGCAGATTCTCGAGGATCAAGAGCGATGAGTATGCAAAGTCAACGCTCTCCAGCTGGTCCCAGAGCTCCTTCTTGACAACTTCAGGGCGCACTTTGGTCGTCTTTTTTGCGGCTAGCCAATTCTTCCTCGCAACTTGCGCGAAGTGGTTCTCGCCGTGCAGGTCGGCGACAGTTGGGCGGGCATGTTGGCTGGCCAGGTCGGGCGCATGCGCAGCAGACGCGCCTGGAGAGGTGATGGAAGACATGGAGTCGCCCGTCGGGGTAACGTCATCCATGTGGTCTGGCTTCATGGCCATGGTCGCGGTGCAGAGAGGGTGTCGGCGCAAGTGAAGGGGGGCGCGCGCATTGTCGGCGCACGAGGTTTGGCGAATGGCGTAGTGACGCGCCAAGAAGTAAAGTTTCTGGAGTGGATGGCGTTGCGGAAGCTCCAACGACTACCGGCCCGCAGTGCCAAGCCTTCCATCCAACCTCACTCGCCCAGCCCGCAACAAGCACGCCCTCGGCCGCAGTGCACATCAACACCACAATGACGAACGCAGACGAGGCAGTCAGGCACCAGGCTGTCGTGCCAGACAAGGTCCCCACTGGAGAGTACCCTGTGAGTCAATTGCGCCTTCGGCCATCCTGCAATGGCTTGCACTAACTAACGCCGACAGCTCATCGACAATGACCCGTACGCCTTTGTTGTCCTCTGCCACATGCCATGACTAACCTCTGCAAAAAAAGACACATTAGCCGCGTAATGCGGTACACTCGCCCCTCCGACTGGGCCTACGGTGCCGCCCTCGGAAGTTTGAGCCCTGGATTGATGCTTTACTGGGAGAAGGTGTCGCCCTCCATGGTCGGCAAGGGTGGTTTTGCCCCCGTCTTGCGATTGACCGGCGCTGTTGGAGTGGCTGGATGCTTCATGTTCGCCTACTCGAGGTCATGCAGTATGTCATACACAGGCAGGGAGGCAGACCAAATGCTAACACACAGCAGTGCGTTTCTACGGTGCACGTGAGAACCGCCGCGAGGTGGAGATGGACATGCGCGAAATGGTCGACAAGGTCAAGAAGGGCGAGCCACTGTATGGAAAGTCGGAAATGAGCGAGTACATGCAGGGAGTCGCCCACCGAAACTCGCGCTTTGCCGCAACATTTGGTCACGTTCTCCCATGGCCAAACCTCGTCAATCACCCCTACCACGGTGTTGACACCGCAAAGTACTACCGACAGGCTGAGTTGGAACTTGAGCAGGAGAGGCTCGCCCGCGAAGGTCGGTAGAGCCAGAGATGCTGTAAACAGACTAAGCGTAGTTTTTTGAGTCACAGTGGCTGTAAATAAGTTCAAACAAGCCAAGTGAGCATGTATCAACATGTGTTTCTTGTTCTCATTCCATCTCTAGTTTACAGGGAGTCCCTCCAAGACCTTGCTCTGTCCGAACTCGGCCATTTTGAATTTGCTAATCCAGTCGTCTCGATTAATGTACGCACCACAGATCCTTCTCTTCCCAGTGAAGCTGCTCCGACCATGTAGCACTCTCCAGTTATCGAAGATTAGTGCCCGTCCTGGCTTCAATTGCTCCCAGTACTCATTCTCTTTCTTCTTCAGTAATGCATCAAATTTCCTTGCGGCGTCGTACCACGTTTCCACCTGATCAATGGGGAGCTCAATCGACGCACGATCAGAAGAGTTCCAGCGTACACGCAGGAGACTTCCCGTTGCAATGTCGTGCTCTAGTACGGGGAAGCCACGGTATGGCTGAATCGATATGCCATCGTTCCCTGACGCATGGCCATGCACATTTACTGTAGCGAGAATCTCATACGCTTTCTTGTCCGTTTCAAGAAGTTCTTGAGCGACCTTGAACCCGTCGACAAGCAAGCTCGCTCCTCCCTCCCCATCCGTATGCGACAGCAAATGGAACGCCTGCAGCCCTGCCGGATCAGAAAAGTACGTCGTATCCGTATGCGCCTCAAGCGCAATATTCGTATACGCCGTATCCTTACTCGCCAAATCAGCCGTAAAGTCGTAGAACCCACCATAATGCGTCTCGCGTATAAAGGCAATCTTCTCCAGCAACGCCTTCGTATCCTGCGGATCCTCAAACGGCGTTCCATCCACATAGCAAAACCCATATTCCCGCAGATGCTTCAGCAACCCCGCCATCTCCCCGCTCATAACCCCCTCGTACTCGACTATCGGCGGCTCCGCCGCAACCCCCTTATCCCACAGCGAAAGCGACACAAGCCCCAACCGCTGCACCGCCTTGGCCGGCTCCGTCTTGAGCGTCTGGCGCAGCAGCGAAAAAGGGTACAAACTCTCATGTCCGTCCTCCCACGTAACCTTCAATTTCTTCCCGCCCTCCGCCTCCGCCTCCTCCCCCTCAACCTCCCACTTCTCCATCCGAATCCCCGCCGGGATCCCAAACGAATCCAGCAACCGCTGCCTCGTATCTCCATGCATACACGTTCCACACTGGCAGTTATCCCTGAGCCATATGTTTGGGACCCGCTTGTCCCCCACCCACACCGTCCCCTCGTCCACATTCACTCGATCTCTTCGCGCACGACCCCCATGGACACTGACACGCACGTTGTACGGCCCTTGCAGTCTATATTGCAGCCCGCGGTACCGCGCTTGCAGCTCCGTCAGTTGGAACTGCGCCTGCCGCAGGAAATGCGACATGCTGCTTGCGCGGATGGCATCGGCTCCTCCCAGGTGGTAAGAACGGGATCTAGATGAAAACTTGGTGGTGTATGGCACGGGGCTTATTTTTGTGCTTTTTGCTTCTTCTTCTTCCTCTACCATGGCACCGGGTTCTTTGGCAACACCAGTCTTGGGCTTTTTGGTTTTGCCGCCCTTTTTGAAGTGCTTTTGGGGCTTGGGCCTGGACGTTTTCTCCTGCTATATGTTAGTTATTGTGCGTGAATTGAACCAAGATACGTGATTGTGTAGTTACTTCAGAGTATGGCCTAAGTTGCGATACATGTCTCGTGACATTGGCGGTCTTTGAGGTCCATCGCGATGCTCGTGCCGCCAACATGATGGGCAATTGGGGTGTCGAGACAGGGTAGAGGGTGCAGAGGCAATGAGCAACACCAAGTTTTGAGCGATAGGTGGTTGTGAGCCGAGGGAAAGTTTGGTCGTACAATGATGCGGAGTCACCAGTTCGGGTAATCGGTTACGGTGCTCTTCACTTGACAAATTTTGTAAGCCAATATGAACAATGCAATTCTGAAAAACCTCATCTTCCGGAGATAAAAGGCACCATGGCCTAATGGTAAGGCGTTGCTTTCCGGTGGCAAAGATTGTGGGTTCGAGTCCCACTGGTGTCGTCTTTTTGCTTCTTGCTTTTTTGACCTTCCGATCAAGCTGTGGCTTTCTTCCCTTCTTCTCGCTCTTTTTTCTTCTAAGCGAGTTGGATTTTTGGTTGTGGAGTGAGAATGCAGCAACTAGGCCCCCACCCCCACCTTTTGGAAATCGTCGATCATCACTTGACAACAATACACACAGGCTGGTTTTCATATATGCCGTAGAACTATCATAGTGCAATACGATATATAGATAAGGGACATATCGGTAAGGGCATACATTCTTAACACTATCAAGACAATTAAGACACCTTTTTGTTGAGTATTGGCCTAATTGAGTCTTTTACTCTATCTTGTGAATACGAAAAGTTCACAAGCAAAATCCAACCAAGTCGCTACAACGATGCTGCATGTTTATCAAAGAATATGATTAAAAGTACACGAGACATGAAGATTGCTCACTCTCTTTTTCCTCTCTCAGCTAAGCATGCATTCAAAAAGAAAAACCAATGAAACAACTCCCATGCTATGCTACCACCATGACAAACAACCTTCCCTCCCCGCTCCGCAATCATTAAACGTAATGGTAAAAAAAAAGGTGCCCTGAATCGCATGATAACCCTTTCCTTTACATGCCCCAGTTGCACACATATACAGCACCCCCGCACATGACTACCAGAAACTACACCAACCGATATAATGCTGGCATAGATTCTCCAAGTTGGTTGCTTCCTTAATGAGTCGATCGACCTGCATCTCCGTCTTCAATTCCTCGCCTTTGCCGAAATCACGGCCAGTTAGCTTCTCCTTGACGCGGCTCAGGACTTGCAAGGCGCGCGCATTTTGTACTTCCTTGGCATCGGCCTCGTTGTTTTGGGGCGGAGCAACAGAGGAGCGGTGACGGGGACGACCAACAATGCTGGACATTTGGTGTGGGTCGGTGGTTGCGGCAGCGGTGTCAGCACCCATGATAGATTGGCGGCGTTCAGACGGGTAGTTGGGCTCCACAGGCGACGCATCGCGGTGGTTCAGGCGCCAGGTCAGGAGAGGATCATGTATGAACTGTGGTTGAATAAGTTAGTATCAATGCACCTTTCTATCTTCAAGTTCATAAATAAACAACTTACAGCTTCAAGAACTGCCATGACACTCTCCTTGTTGCTTCGTAATACCCGCATGACATGCTCACAAGTGGTTCGGTAGCTACCTTCAATATTGCTCACTTCCATGGCATATGTCAACATGCGCGTCAGGCGGAACGGCACGCGCTCGGGATACTTCTCGCGGTGCATGGCCACTTCGAAACAGTCTCCGAAATCGATGTGGATAATCTTGCCGGTGACTCGGTCCAACATCAAGTTACTTGGGTGGCGATCTCCCAAGCCGAGGATGTATCCGACCATGGACATTACAGCAAGCGAACGCGTGTAGTTGGTACGGCGATCAAGCCAGGCTTCCGAAGATTTAGACTTGAGCCAGAGGACGCGATACAGATCTTGGCCTGTCGTATTATCGAGGGCGTAACCGAACACTTCCACCTTTTGCATGAGAGTGAGGCAATCGTAGTCAGGTGCCATCTGTAACATGATACGGTGCTCGATATTAAGCAGAATCTTCCGACTGTCTCGATACTCTCGGATGAGCACGTGCAGCGTGTCACTGTTAGGGACGAAACCAAGCAAGCCAGACTGCGTACTAAGCGGAACGGCAGCATATCGTTGGATGTTGAGGTGACGCTTGCGGGACTCCACGTCGTTGGAGAGCAGTGTGTTGCAAAGACCAAAGAGTTGCATGACACGTTCATCCTGTCGAATGTCTTCGTGTCCTTTGAGAATGTGGGTGTGTGCTTTGCCGTCGCTGCCACGCATTTCCAGTTTTCTAGGTCGCTGTTTGGACTGGATGACAGTTGCGACTGGATCAAAGGAGATGATTCTAATAACAGGCTTGCCAACCTGGTAGGTTCCAGGAACCGCGAGCTCAAGATCATGCGCTTCCTTAAGTTTTGGTGAGACATACTGTAGTTCGAGTGTCATCAAGGAAGGTAGTTGTCGCGCAATCTTGCGGAACACCTGGTAGTAGAGATCCCACGCCTGATTAAGATCACCTATTTCACCGGAGGTCCTGAACGTGTTGCACCAGTCACGCGCTTCCTGAAGTTCACGACCAAAAGACTGGATGAACGAGATTTCGCGGAGTGTTTCAGGGCCCTTGTCGAGCATTGCGTGAAGGGGTGCCAGTGTGGCGAACATACCGTCTATGTTGTGATCGCCAAAGTACAATCGACTAGCTTCCTCAAGACCCTCATGCCATTGTTCATGCCATAGGACAGCGATACGAATCAGCTCATGACTGACAAGATCGGCTTGCTCAACCAGCCGTGGTGAGTGTTCGCGCATAGCCTCCATAAGTTCTTTTGCCGATCGCTGACGTCGTGAGACATCAGACTTCATAGAGACAGTCAGTGGGAAGACCAAAGCTTGAGGATGTGCTTTTCCAACTTCGATAAGCAGTTGGTGTATGGATTGTCGGACGACAGCGTTGGGCTGATTGATTCGAGCAAGCAATTGCGGGATGACCTCAAGCCAAGTATCGATTGGAACCGACTTTGTGCCCTCTGTGATGGTGCGGTTGACTCCCTCTCTACCGCCATAGCTGAACCACAACGTGAGCAACCTCAATGTATCTTGCAGCGAACTGGTCGATGACAGTGCAATGGATTTGAAGAAGCCTTGGATAGCCGGGATGACATGATCGTGAATAATGTTATGAGGCACGTCGGTAGCTTCCCGGTCAGACTTGGATGTGATGGAGTTGATGACTTCAAAGTTGGCAAGTGCCCATGCATGCCATGCCTTGTACCAGTCCTTGTTGTAGCGTGTAGCAGCGGCATAGGCGGCGAGAATTTCATGCACAAACTCATGGTCCCACTCACCGTCGTTGAGTTCTTGTTGCCAGTCACCCTGCTTCAGATAGCATTTGGCCAGCAAACGGTGGCATTCGGCGAGGTCGGTAGGCGAAGTACCAGTGACTGATCCATTCATCAGACTCGACCCATGCATACCATTGACCCCGTTATGTCCATTGGTGGCAGCAAAGGGGTTCACGTTGCTGAACATGTGCTGACCATTAGACATACCGTTCATGCCATTCTGCGCCATCATGGGGTTTACTGCGGCCCTGCTTCTCATAGCAAGGTCCTCAGAAAGTCGTGTAGTGAAGTCCTTCATGCTATCGAGTGCTTCTTGCTTATGGTTTTGGTCGGCCCACATGTACTTGTACGTAGTGTAGGCCACGGGGTGCGAGATCTCGTGAGCATTGTTCCGCACAAACTCAACCACGGTGCTATCACCAGTACTCTCGATATCAAGCAACTTCTGGAGAGCCTTGTTTGCGAGGTTCATCCTGTTGCTCTTCCTGCACAGATTGGTGTATTTGATCCACATGTCGGTGCCTTCTTGTGGTGAGATGACAAGCTGGCGCACCTTGATCATACGCTGCCAGACTTCTGGATTTGGTTGCAATCCCCTAAGTCGCTTCATCCAAGTCTTACGCATACTCTTCTGCTTCTCATGGTTGCCCTCGTTCTGTTTGTATTGCATGATTTCCTCAAGCTCTGCAAGCATCTGCACACGAATCATTGGTAAGTAAGCCCGCTGGTACGACTCTCCCAAAAGCGAGCTGAGCTCCGTGTCCAGACCCTTTCGAGCCTTTGCAATTTCATCGACGGCAATTTCAAATCGGTTGTTGTGAATGTTGAGAATGGAAGCAAAGAATGCGCGGTCAGGCGACTGCTCCTTCATGACACCAAGGTAGTTGTCCATGTCCGCAAACTTGCCCAAACCCCACGCAGCCGTCGCAGCGAGAGGTGCTATCGCCTTACGATACTCCTGTGAAGCATTGGCCCACTTCTCCTTGGACAGACTAGAAAGAAGATCCCATTCGCCCAGGGCGTGCAAGCATCGCATCTTGCCCATGGTCACATCGAAAGAGTCGGGCTCTTCAAGCTCACGTCTCTGATAGGCAGCAAGTGCCTCATCCCATTTCTGCAATTTCTCGAACCAAGTCTCCTTGAGCTCGACGTCGTGGTAGTTCTGTGCCTTACGCAAAATACCAAAAGCTGCGTCGGTCTGCTGGAGTTGGTTGTTGATGCTAATAAGGGCTTCTACAGCGCTGGAATTCTGCTCCGCGTTGAATTCGAGCTCCTTGTAGTGCAGTGCTTTGGCAAAAGCATGGCATTTTCCAGCATACATACCAAGTATTCTGACATCGATTGGTAGTGCTTTATCGTCGTGCTCCATAAACTCTGCCAAGTTAAGCAAAACTTGAAGAATTTCAGGTGGAATGTTTGGTGATGTGAGTGCGGTTTCGATGGACCGAACAAGTTCTTCCTGATATTGATCGTACAATTCCGTCCAACACGAGACGAAAGCAGAGTTGAATAGTGTCCTGGCGATGGGGTTGTACACGCTCCCGAGCGGTGTACAAGCGCGCAGTGCTTGCTGAGGCGACTCTCTAAGGAGCTCGACACTGAATCTTCGCATCCATTCTATCCAATCCTCTTTGGTGGTTTTGTTGGAAGCTTCCCAAGCTTGCTTCAAATGCTGTTGGTTGACTGCCAACTTCTTGGTCAGGATCTCAGCGGGGTTCAGGTCTTCATCATCCTCACCGTATCGCTCGTCTGGGCTAAGATCCTGCGGTAGCGGTTCGCCTTTCTGCAGCTTCGATACGATAC